TCAGACAATATAGTAGTAGATTAAAGGGGCACTAGCTGTCAAATTCATGTTCACCGATTTGAATTAAATTCACATATTTGATTTATAACAATATAAAACTTTTATCCAAACTATTAAAAGTCTAAAATAAACAGTTAACAGGACATGGGCATGATAACAAGTAGCTTCGTTTCGTGTGTATTTTAGTCTAGAAGCCATCTAATTAACTATCGAGTTGACCTCCAAAGTCATCCGATGACCATGTAAGCGATGTAAACATAAATAAAGATATAAAAAGATTAAGCGAACTCATGCTATTGGATTTTTCTAGGTATGTAAAATTTCGTATTATAGATTAAAAATATATGTTTATCATCGTTTTTACCTGTATAAGAATGATTTTTTTGTGGATCGGATCAGTCAATCAAATGATTTACCTTTGTTTCACTTTCAATGTTGAAATATTTTTACTTTAAATAACTTTACACATGCAATTCACGTGTTATCCATCTCTAGCTAAGGGGTTAAATTGAGGTTCACATGAATACGGATTCAATGAGGTCGAATTATTCACTTGTAAGTGAATAATTCATCATCAATGTTTCTTAGCTTATTTTGACAAAATTGAACCATACTGGCGGCTAAAAGCGAATAATTATTTCACTATTTCACTTTCATTAATGATTGAACAAAAAAAATCATAAATTAGATTTTTTATATATCTCGTAGCTAGTGCCCCTTTAAAAACACTTATGACAATGTGTAAAGAAGAGCATTAGGTCATTTCCTTACAATAGTAAGAACAAGAGTTCACACGTTGAAACGTCTTACCTGTTGTACTGTTCATGATCGGTCTTACCTTGAAAGTCTTTTAAATGAAAATTTTACTACACAAATCACATAACCTGATGGTTTTCAATGATCTATGGACATGTAGAACATATGTTTACCTTGCAAGGATTCCATTGACCAAATAGTATTATCCCAATATTCATGATAAGTGAAATGTTTACATGACAAAAAGATATACAGTATTTAAAACAGTAACTGTCCAGAACCATGAAAATAAGTGCAGGGACAATGGTCTTATGACTGAAAGAAAGAAACTTTGTTACATAAGGCATTTATAAACAAGGTATGAAGCATCCAGGTCTTTTACCTTCTGAATATAAAGCTTCATACAAAATAGTTTACGCCACCACAGCTGCCGGATTGTAATCCCTATGTCTCGAATAAGTCGCAGGTGTAACAATAAACTGCTTCGCTGAGCGCAGCTGGATACGCCCGCAGAGGTCCAACCCTGAACAGTTGGGGCAAAAATGGACACAATATTCAAGCTTGATACCGGTCTGAATTTGGATTGTAATTAAATATTTGACATATTATAGGTTTCTGAATAAATGAAGTCAAAGAACTTGAAATTGGTCATATGAATTGAATTTATATTCAATTAAAGATTTCTTGCTGTTGTGCAAGACACTGTGCTGTTGCACAATACTTAGTAAATCTGTTGCCGGACTATAAACAAACAATAACTCCTCAATGTTAAATCAGAAATTTATAAAAAACTAAAGGGAGGTTATCTTAATAGATATAAATCAGTCATCAAAGTTTAATGAAAACTGCTCTAAGCACTTTAAGGATATTGTCCAAAAACTTGAAAATCCCCCTTTTTGTAATGAATAAAACCCCATAAATCGGAAACGTATGGTCTAAAATTTATAATAAAATGCTCCGCAGGGCGCAGCTTGATACGACCGCAGAGGTCGAACCCTGAACAGTTGGGGCAAGTATGGACACAACATTCAAGCTTGATACAGCTCTGAATTTGGATTGTGATTAAATATTTGACACAGCATAGGTTTCTGACACAGAATGAATGTGGTCTAAGAACTTAAAAATTTTAAATTGGACATTCACCTATTATGGTCCAATATCCAAAATCTAAATACATGGTTAGATTCAGCATATCAAAGAACCCCAAGAATTCAATTTTGATGAAATCAAACAAAGTTTAATTTTGGACCCTTTTGACCTCAATGTGGACAAAGTTGATAACGGGGCCCAAAAATCTAAATACATGGTTAGATTCAGCATATCAAAGAACCCCATATATTCAATTTTTGTTGAAATCAAACAAAGTTTAATTTTGGACCCCGATTTGGACCAACTTGAAAACTGGGCCCATAATCAAAAAGCTAAATACATGTTTAGATTCAGCATATCAAAGAACACTAAAAATTCAATTTTTGTTAAAATCAAACTAAGTTTAATTTTGGACCCTTTGGACCTTAATGTAGACCAATTTGAAAACGGAACCAAAAATTAAGAATCTAAATACACGGTTAGATTCGGCATATCAAAGAACCCCAATAATTCAATTTTTGATGAAATCAAACAAAGTTAAATTTTGGACCCTTTGGACCTCAATGTGGACCAATTTAAAAACGGGGCCCAAAATCCAAAAACTTAATACACGGTTATATTCAGCATATTGAAAAACCCCAAGAATTCAAGAATAAAACCCCATTGAAATTGATCAAGAAATAAGCAATTTATAAGAAGTATCTTCGTTTGCACAATACTGTGCAATTGAATATTTCTTGCTATTGCGCAATACTGTACAATTGACAATTTCTTGCTATTGCGCAATATTGTGCTATTGGATATTTCTTGCTATTGCGCAATACTGTGCAATTGAAGATTTCTTGCTATTGCACAATACTGTGCAATTGAAGATTTCTTGCTATTGTGCAATACTGTGCAATTGAAAATTTCTTGCTATTGCACAATACTTATTATATAAAAATTTACACATCCTGTTTGGTGTGTATCTCCTACCATATCATTATTATTTGCTTTTAAATATAAATCAGAAATAACCAACTTAAAATGGAAAATTTTAAAAGAAAAAAAAAATGAAAAAAAGAAAAAAAAAGAAAAAAAAAAATCCCCCCCCCCCCCAAATTTTTTGAACCCCCTTATGATTCATCACCCCAAACTCAATCTTAGCCTTCCCTTTGTGGTATTGTACCTTGCAGTACAATTTCAGAGAGATCCATACACTTGAACACAAGTTATTGTCTTGAAACTAGAAAAATGCTTATTTTTGGCCCTTTTTGGCCCCCAATTCCTAAACGTTTCAGGCAATTACCCCCGAACTCAATTCCAGCTTTCCCTTTGTGATATGAAACCTTGTAGTACAATTTCAGAAATATCCAAACACTTACACACAAGTTATTGTCATGAAACTAGAAAAATGCTTGTTTTTTGCCCCTTTTTTGGCCCCTAATTCCTAAAATTTTGAGGCAATTATCCCCAAAATCAATTACAGCCTTCCCTTTGTGATATGGAACCTTGTGGTTCAATGTCAGAGAGATCCATACACTTACACACAAGTTATTGTCTGAAAGTTACAAAAATGGTTATTTTTGGCCCCTTTTGGGCCCCTAATTCCTTAACTGTTGGTACCATAACCCCCAAAATCAATCCCAACCTTCCTTTCGTGGTATTGAACCTTATGGTAAAATTTCATGGAGATCCATTCACTTAAACTAAAGTTAGAGTGCGAAAACCAATGTGTCTTCGGACGACGCCGGACGACGCCAGACGACGACGACGACGACGACGACGACGCCAACGTCATACCAATATACGACCAAAAAATTTTAAATTTTTGCGGTCGTATAAAAATCAAAAGGGAGCTCATGTCGATAGAAATAAACAATTCACCAAAGTTTCTTGCAAATTGGTGAAATTGTTTTTGAGTTATTGTCCACAAACTGGAAAATCCCCCCTTTTTTAATGAATAAAACCCCAAAACTCGGAAACGGTAAATCCGAAATTTATAAAATAACGAAAGGGAGCTCACGTCAATAGATATAAACAATTCACCAAAGTTTCATGCATATTGGTTAAAGTGTTTTTGAGTTAATGTCCGACATGTTGACGACGGACGGACGGACAGACGGACGGACAGACGGACAACGGTATACCATAATACGTCCCGTAAACGGGCGTATAAAAACAGTCCAATAAAATTCATCAAATCAAACTGACTGTATGGTCAATATTTTAGGATAATAGGGCATTGAAAAAGTCCAATAAAAACAGGCCAAAAATAAAAATCAATGAAAGGAGAAACAACAATAACAAACATTACAACTAGCAAGCTTAAGGATGAACAACATGAACTCCACCATAAACCTGGCGTTTTTACAAAGTGTCCTGGAAAGTAAGTAGTTCCTGTTCCAAAAATATTCCTACCAAGAATGCAAGCTTTTTTTTTTGGTCTATGAGTACTGCTGTTTTGATATTATTTGAGGGTGTGAGCTGCACGGGACAATTGGTATAATTTTCGTCCCATTTTTTTCAGCCTATTCTGTCCAAGATTTAACAGGTTGAAAAGGAACATTATTTCTCATAAGTACAAAAATTAATAAATTGTTGACACAGAAATATGTCTTGCCTTGCATAAAAATCAGAAAAAGACAATCTGATGGACAGCAACATTGCTTATCAATTCAGTCGCTGGACCATGATCTAGTGGACAGGACCTGAAAATGGTCGACAAACTGAGATGTACAGACAGTAATGTTACTTAATAGAACTTATTGTTGTCTATTGAAAGTAGACCCTAGCAATCTAACTTAAACAGAACACTTAACATTGAAAATTGCTTATCAATTCAAAGTCATTGGACCATGACCTAGGGGCAGGGCCTCAAAATAGTCATCAAACTAATATGAACTGATAGTAATACGACTTCATAGAAAATATCATTGATCCATCACAAGTAGTTCCTATCATACTGACTTAAGCAGAAAACTTAACAATTGTTTTCTGTCACCGTCGCTGTCGCCAGAAAAGCAATCCCTATGTGTCGCTTGCTGCAACTTTAGTAGCAGGCGAGATAAAAAACCAAAAATGTGCCAGTTAATAAACTGAGAATAGGATGACCTTTACGATGAACTGATTAGTTATGAACAGGCCATACATATATATGTTAATATAAAACCTACCTGAGGATGTTTTGAGATATCAAATTCTTCTCCATACCTGAAAATTATAATGATAGTTTTTTTTAAATTACATTGTAATTCAATCCATTCAAATGACACCTTTTGTTTTCCCCACACTGACATCCTTCATACGGATGAGAATTCAAACTCACATATATTTTGTAAGTGACCAATTTAGTGCAGTTTCACAGTTAACTTTAACAGTTAACTTTAAAAGATTCAGTATTGCATTTCTTTTGATTAGCCATGATATTCCCTGATCAAGAGTCAGACTATAAGTTAATAACATCTTCATTGATCTGACATGTAGGTTTAAAGTCTATTTCAGTGGAAAGCAAAAAAAAATAATCAACAAGAAACACTACAGCAAAGTAGACTCTATAATTATAAGAGGTTTACAGGGTAAATGTTTGACTAATACCATTCTGATTTGGTGGACTTTTATTGAGTATTTTTTTTATGAAATCACCAGATGTTTGCATGTCATGGGCAACAGGACAAACGCCACTAGTAGAACAGAAACTGTTCATCCTTTGAAGGATCTCGAGAGTATATCCCTATTTGATGGGATTCTTCAGAAACTATTTACCCTTTAAAGGCTCTCTAGAGTTTATCGCTATTTGATGGGGTTCTTCAGAAACTGTTTACCCTTTGAAGGATCACCAGAGTTTATGCCTATTTGACGGGGTTCTTCAGAAACTATTCACCCTTTGAAGGATCACCACAGTGTATCGCTATTTGATGGGGTTCTTCGGAAACTGTTTACCCTTTGATGGATCATCAGAGTTTATCACTATTTGGTCGGGTTCTTCAGAAACTGTTTACCCTTTGAAGGATCACCAGAGTTTATGCCTATTTGACGGGGTTCTTCAGAAACTATTTACCCTTTGAAGGATCATCAGAGTTTATCCCTATTTGATGGGATTCTTCAGAAACTGTTTACCCTTGATGGATCACCAGAGTTTATCCCTATTTGATGGGATTCTTCAGAAACTGTTTACCCTTGATGGATCACCAGAGTTTATGCCTATTTGATGGGGTTCTTCAGAATCTGTCTACCCTTTGAAGGATCACCAGAGTTTATGCCTATTTGATGGGGTTCTTCAGAAACTGTCTACCCTTTGAAGGATCACCAGAGTGTATGCCTATTTGATGGGGTTCTTCAGAAACTGTCTATCCTTTGAAGGATCACCAGAGTTTATGCCTATTTGATGGGGTTCTTCAGAAACTGTCTACCCTTTGAAGGATCACCAGAGTTTATGCCTATTTGATGGGGTTCTTCAGAAACTGTCTACCCTTTGAAGGATCACCAGAGTTTATGCCTATTTGATGGGGTTCTTCAGAAACTGTCTACCCTTTGAAGGATCACCAGAGTTTATGCCTTTTTGATGGGGTTCTTCAGAAACTGTCTACCCTTTGAAGGATCACCAGAGTTTATCCCTATTTGATGGGGTTCTCCAGAAACTGTTTACCCTTTGAAGGATCACCAGAGTTTATTCCTATTTGACGGGTCTTCAGAAACTATATACCCTTTGAAGGATCACCAGAGTTTATGCCTATTTGATAGGATTCTTCGGAAAATGTTTACCCTTAAATTACCCTTCGAATGATCAGCAGAGTTTATGCCTATTTGATGGGATTCTTCGGAAACAGTTTACCCTTTGAAGTGTATCGCTATTTGACAGGGTTCTTCGGAAACTGTTTACCCTTTGAAGTATATCGCTATTTGACGGGGTTCTTCAGAAACTGTCTATCCTTTGAAGGATCACCAGAGTTTATGCCTTTTTGATGGGGTTCTTCAGAAACTGTCTACCCTTTGAAGGATCATCAGAGTTTATGCCTTTTTGGTGGGGTTCTTCAGAAACTGTCTACCCTTTGAAGTATATCGCTATTTGACGGGGTTCTTCAGAAACTGTCTACCCTTTGAAGTATATCGCTATTTGACGGGGTTCTTCGGAAACTGTTTACCCTTTGAAGGATCACCAGAGTTTATCCCTATTTGATGGGGTTCTCCAGAAACTGTTTACCCTTTGAAGGATCATCAGAGTTTATGCCTATTTGATGGGGTTCTTCGGAAACTGTTTACCCTTGATGGATCACCAGAGTTTATCCCTATTTGATGGGATTCTTCAGAAACTGTTTACCCTTTGAAGGATCACCAGAGTTTATCCCTATTTGATGGGGTTCTCCAGAAACTGTTTACCCTTTGAAGGATCACCAGAGTTTATTCCTATTTGACGGGTCTTCAGAAACTGTATACCCTTTGAAGGATCACCAGAGTTTATGCCTATTTGACAGGGTTCTTCGGAAAATGTTTACCCTTAAATTACCCTTCGAATGATCAGCAGAGTTTTTGCCTATTTGATGGGATTCTTTGGAAACAGTTTACCCTTTGAAGTATATCGCTATTTGACAGGGTTCTTAGGAAACTGTTTACCCTTTGAAGTATATCGCTATTTGACGGGGTTCTTCAGAAACTGTTTACCCTTTGAAGGATCACCAGAGTTTATGCCTTTTTGACGGGGTTTGGAAACTGTTTACCCTTTGAAGTATATCTCTATTTGATGGGATTCTTAGGTAACTGTTTACCCTTTGAAGTATATCTCTATTTGACAAGGTTCTTCAGAAACTGTTTACCCTTTGAAGTATATCGCTATTTGACGGGGTTCTTCGGAAACTGTTTACCCTTTGAAGTATATCTCTATTTGACAGGGTTCTTCGGAAACTGTTTACCCTTTGAAGTATATCTCTATTTGGCGGGGTTCTTCAGACACTGTTTACCCTTTGAAGGATCACCAGAGTTTGTGCCTATTTGATGGGATTCTTCAGAAACTGTTTACCCTTTGAAGGATCACCAGAGTTTATGCCTATTTGATGGGATTCTTCGGAAACTGTTTACCCTTTGAATTTTATCTCTATTTGATGAGATTCTTAGGTAACTGTTTACCCTTTGAAGTATATCGCTATTTGACGGGGTTCTTCAGACACTCTTTACCCTTTGAAGGATCACCAGAGTTTGTGCCTATTTGATGGGATTCTTCGGAAACTGTTTACCCTTTGAAGGATCACCAGAGTTTATGCCTATTTGATGGGATTCTTCGGAAACTGTTTACCCTTTGAATTTTATCTCTATTTGATGAGATTCTTAGGTAACTGTTTACCCTCTGAAGTATATTGGTATTTGACAGGGTTCTTCGGAAACCGTTTACCCTTTGAAGTATATCGCTATTTGACGGGGTTCTTTAGAAACTGTTTACCCTTTGAATTATATCGCTATTTGACGGGGTTCTTCAGAAACTGTTTACCCTTTGAAGGATCACCAGAGTTTATGCCTATTTGATCGGATTCTTCGGAAACTGTTTAACCTTTGAAGTATATCACTATTTGAAGGGTTCTTCGGAAACTGTTTACCCTTTGCAGTATATCTCTATTTGAAGGGTTCTTCGGAAACTGTTTCCCCATTGAAGTATATCTCTATTTGAAGGGTTCTTCGGAAAATGTTTACCTTTTGAAGTATATCGCTATTTGACAGGGTTCTTCAGAAACTGTTTACCCTTTGAAGTATATCACTATTTGATGGGGTTCTGCAGAAACTGTTTACCCTTTGAAGGATCACCAGAGTTTATCCCTATTTGATGGGATTCTTCAGAAACTGTTTACCCTTTGAAGTTTCTCTCTATTTGATGGGATTCTTAGGTAACTGTTTACCCTTTGAAGTATATCTCTATTTGACAGGGTTCTTCGGAAACTGTTAACCCTTTGAAGTATATTGCTATTTGACAGGGTTCTTTAGAAACTTTTTACCCTTTGAAGTATATCGCTATTTGAAGGGTTCTTCAGAAACTGTTTACCCTTTGAAGTATATCGCTATTTGACAGGGTTCTTCAGAAACTGTTTACCCTTTGAAGTATATCGATATTTGACGGGGTTCTTCAGAAACTGTTTACCCTTTGAAGTATATCGCTATTTGACAGGGTTCTTCAGAAACTGTTTACCCTTTGAAGTATATCGATATTTGACGGGGTTCTTCAGAAACTGTTTACCCTTTGAAGTATATCACTATTTGAAGGGTTCTTCAGAAACTGTTTACCCTTTGAAGTATATCGCTATTTGACAGGGTTCTTCAGAAACTGTTTACCCTTTGAAGTATATCACTATTTGAAGGGTTCTTCAGAAACTGTTTACCCTTTGAAGTATATCGCTATTTGACAGGGTTCTTCAGAAACTGTTTACCCTTTGAAGTATATCACTATTTGATGGGGTTCTTCAGAAACTGTTTACCCTTTGAAGTATATCGCTATTTGACAGTGTTCTTCAGAAACTGTTTACCTTTTGAAGTATATCGCTATTTGACAGGGTTCTTCAGAAACTGTTTACCCTTTGAAGTATATCGCTATTTGACAGGGTTCTTTAGAAACTGTTTACCCTTTGAAGTATATCGCTATTTGACGGGGTTCTTCTGAAACTGTTTACCCTTTGAAGTATATCGCTATTTGACGGGGTTTTTCAGAAACTGTTTACCCTTTGAAGTAAATCACTATTTGATGGGGTTCTTGTTGCTCAATCTATTCTAGGTGGTGTTTTGTTGACGTGTCTCCCTTTTTTTCCCCCAGCTTCCTACACCAATTGTCTCCCTTTTCCCCCCCAGCTTCCTCCACCAATATGAAATTGCCATTGTGATATAGCCAAGAGTGATGAAAGTGGCTTTGATCACCAACAAATATCTTCATTTACTTTTACTTAAGTGTTTTTGATAGCCCTTGGTTTTTTTAAAGAATATTATAGTATATACATAACAATGCTACAACTACTTAAAAAGATCTGGGAAGAAGAAGAAATACCAGATGATTGGAGTAAAGGGCTTTTAGTGAAAATCCCCAAAAAAGGTAACAAGTCACTTTGCAACAACTGGAGAGGTATCATTTTATTGTCCATACCAAGCAAACTGTTCTGTAGCACCATCCTTAGCAGAATGAAAAATGAAGTCGATAAGATATTAAGAGATAAACAAGCTGACTTCAGACAAGAAAGATCATGTGTAGACCAAATAACCACATTGAGAATTGTTATTGAACAGACAATAGAATGGCAGACAACACTTTACCTAAATTTTGAGGATTTCCAGAGAGCTTTTGATAGCATTGACCATCAGGTCTTCTGGAACATTCTGGGACACTATGGAATTCCACAAAAGATCATCAAAATGATAAAACTGCTATACGACCAATTTTCCTGTCAAGTTATACACGGTGGAACTATGACCGAACCATTCCCCATTACAACTGGGGTACGTCAAGGTTGTCTTCTCTCTCCGCTCCTTTTCCTAATAGTAGTTGACTGGGTTGGTAAATCAGCCTACAAAGATCCAAAAGGCATTGGATGGACTTCCACAACACGTCTTGAAGACCTAGAATTTGCCGATGACATTTGTACACTATCCCATCACTTCCAAGATGCACAACATCAGACCAAAAGTCTTGAAACAGTAGCAAAACAAACAGGCTTATACATCAACACACAGAAAACTAAATCAATGAGGCTAAATACAAACCAGCAAGATTGTCTTAAGATCGACGAATCTACTGTTGAAGATGTACAACAATTCACTTACCTTGGAAGTATTGTCAGTACATCAGGAGGCAGACGAAGACATATCGGGAAGAAAAAAGAAAGCACAACAGGTATTTTCCATGCTTAAACCCGTTTGGAGGAGTAATGCTTTAAGAACTAGCACAAAGTTAAGGATATTTACCACCAATGTCAAATCTGTACTCTTATACAGATCAGAAACCTGGAGAGAAACAGCTGCATCTATCAAATCAATCCAAACTTTTGTCAATAAATGTTTGAGAAACATCCTCAACATCAGATGGCCAAACAAAATATCCAACAATGAGTTATGGAGAAGAACCAAACAACAGCCGACAACTCAGATAATAAGAACAAGAAAGTGGAAGTGGATCGGGCATACCCTCAGAAAAAAAGACACAAATATCATCAAGCAAGCCCTAGAATGGAACCCCGAAGGACATCGAAAAAGGGGGAGGCCAAAAAACACCTGGCGCAGGGGACTAACAACAGAGCTGAGTAACATTGGGAAGACCTGGAAAGAAACAAAACGAACAGCCATGGACAGGAAGAAATGGAGAGAAACTGTAGTCGCCCTATGTCCCCCTAGGGACGAAGTGGATTAAGTCAAGTAAGTCATAAATAACAAATAGCTGAGAAGGTGTTAGAGTAGATTATTATTAGAATAATTTCTTTTACACGGAGAAACAGTCTGTTCTATTATCCTCTCAGCCGTGTGTTATTTAATTTATTATACTGAACGTTCTGTTATTACTGCCCATTAAATTTTAAATTAAAGTGATAAACTATGATGTCTCGTACATTTGAAAATGGCTGTACCAAGTCAGGAATATGACAGTTGTTGGCCATTCGTTTGATGTGTTTTATCATGATTTTGCCATTTGATAAGGGACTTTCCGTTTTGAATTTTCCTTAGAGTTCAGTACTTTTGTGATTTTACTTTTTACATAACAACAATCAGTAATTAATTAAGCGCACAATTATCAAGCATCTCTGTGAATGGTAATAGGGTATAAGCCATTGTATAGAGTAAATTATCTCCTTCTTATAAACAAATCAAAATCTGGAATTTTAACATGAAGTATAGTAAATGAAAATAGCTTGATAATACAACTCTTTCCCAAAAACTATTTATACTCACCCTTTACACTTCAGTTTTAAATTTTCTTTATCAAATTCTGTTATTTCAACAACCTGTAAAACAAAGCATACTGAAATTTCAGATAATTCTGCATGTACTTATCATTGCGATTAGTTTACAATGAAACGACAATAATGAGAGTTTAATTATTATGATTTTCGTCACAATTTTTAGGCAAAAGTAGAAACACCCCAAACACTTCTGAAAGAAATGAAAAGATGATTGCTACTTTTAAAAATTTTAACCAGTCATTCTGTATTGAAATAGAAGTTTCCTTCATAATATTAGTGCCAAGATTTATCATATAGTGTTCTAACATTTATCATAAAGTGTTCTAATATTTATCATATAGTGTTTTAACATTTATCATTTAGTGTTCTAACATTTATCTTAAAGTGATCTAACATTCATCGTATAGTGTTCTAACATTTATCATAAAGTGGTCTAACATTTATCATATAGTGTTCTAACATTTATCATACAGTGGTCTAACATTTATCATAAAGTGTTCTAACATTTATCATTTAGTGTTCTAACATTTATCATAAAGTGTTCCAACATTTATCATATAGTGTTCTAACATTTATCTTAAAAGTGTTCTAACATTTATCATAAAGTGTTCTAACATTTATCATATAGTGTTCAAATATTCATCATTTAGTGTTCTAACATTTATCATAGTGTTCTAACATTTATCATACAGTATTCTAGCATTTATCATATATTTATATATCAGTAGTTAGACTTACCCTAGGGATAAAGAAGGGTTCAGCAGAAAATAAAAACAGCCATTCATCTAAAAAGTGAAATAACAGATTTTCCATGTCATCAGCTGAAAAAAGAAGAAAATTGTAATAAAAAACTTGCACACAGGTTGTCTTGCTTACTAATAAACTCATCATAGATACCAGGATTAAACATCTTAAGGGCACAGCTTGATACAACCACAGAGGTCAAACCATTAACAGTTGTGGCAAGTATGGACACTACATTAAGGGCACAGCTTGATACAACCACAGAGGTCAAACCATTAACAGTTGGGGCAAGTATGGACACTACATTCAAGCTTAATACAGCTCCGGATTTGGATTGTGATTAAATATTTGATACAGCATACACAAGTTTCTGAAATAAATGTGGTCAAAGAACTGGTAAATTTGAAATTGGACTTTTCCCTACGATGGTTAAATGTGTTTTTTTTTTTGCTGTGCATATACTGATTTTGTGTCATGGATGAATACCCCATATCCTTTGTTTTTTCTATTATATCAATGAAATGTTATGTCAACATCAAAATATCTGACTACTGCATTAAAAATTTTGAGGTCCCAATGTCTTGTTCACACATACTCATATTCCACATTACTGGGGTCATGACCTTACCTTCCACTTCTATTTCCTGTGTATCTGTCATTTCTACACGACTGTAGTCTGTTGTCATATAACCAAACATGGCTGTTGCACATTGTTCAAATGCTTCTTTTAAATTATCTCCCCCTGAAAATCTCAAGTTAAGGAAAACATTTATATTTAACCATTCACTACAATATAGAACATGTAAAATTACATTTCTATTTGATATGTCTGCATAGTGAATTAAAGGTGACCTATAAAGTCTTACTATCACAGAACTATTGGCCTTAGACTTTACAATTACTGCAATAACCATGACAACCTCCATCAGAAATAACAGCAATACAAGAGCTATTATCTTGACATGTTTTTTTTCTGGTGTATAACATCTGCATTTGTTTGATGTACTCAAAAACTTATCCAACTTTTATACTTATTCCATTGTCCATTCTATTGAATATCCCTTTTTTAAGACGACTTGTATCATACATTGTATATTTAATCTGCTCTTTGTGAATGTTTCAAATAAATGTACCAGTAATACAAAAAAAGTATTTCTGCATACTTTTTTGCTTATAGAACATTTACAAGTAAAAAAATATGGGGTAAACATCATCTACATGTAGGAAATGGCGAATTTGTCACATACCAGTGGCTAAATAGATTCATTTGCGCCATGCCAAGTTTCAAGCATCTTCTCCATAGTCATAAAAAGGCTGTTGAGTTCTGTGCATGTAGATTCAGATGTATTACATAATCCAACAACAACCAATAACTCTCCATACCTATGATGTATTCCATAATCCCCACAACAACCAATAACTCTCCATACCTATGATGTATTACATAATCCCCACAACAACCAATAACTCTCCAAACCTATGATGTATTACATAATCCCCACAACAACCAATAACTCCCCATACCTATGATGTATTACATAATCCCCACAACAACCAATAACTCTCCATACCTATGATGTATTTATATTGTTAGGTAACAAAAGGATACATGCATGCAACCTAAAACATATATATAAATAATTAGTTATATCTAATCATGATTAAGTTTAAAACTTACAAAATGAAAGAAAATAAAATTTCCATATAAGAAATTGTTCAATAACCCATGATTGCAAATGATATTATCTACTGTTGTTGAATAGGGAAAAACAAATATCTAATTAATAGTGTAAGTAACCAGCTGCACTTTGAGCAAATGACAGCTGGAAAATGAACCATTAGATGAATTTGAATATTCGTTTTATGTCCCTTTTGGTCATAAAGACCACCATGTGTTTAGACATAGGTTGAATCGTTTCTGATGAAGGTAAATAAAGAAAAGCATTTCAAAAACAGCAATTAATTTATGATCACTTTTTTGTTGTTGTGACGCTAGAAATCTATGAGAAAATATTTGATATCCTTTAATGATGGCTAAACTGCATACCAATGTATTTGGTACGGTTCAATACATTTGACCCAAGCTTTAACTTTTCAAGATTGATACAGAAAAATTAAGTAAACATTCTATAGAATAAAATTCAGAATGGAAATGGGGAATATGTCAAAGAGACAACAACCCGACCAAAGAGCAGAAAACAGCGGAAGGCCACCAATGGGTCTTCATGCAGCGAGAAAATCCCGCACCTGGAGGTGGTCCTCAGCTGGCCCCTAAATAAAAATGTGTACTAGTTCAGTGAAAATGGAGTCAAAGGTTTGTGTAACTCAGTTAATAAAGGTTCGTGTGTAACTCAGTTAAAGGTTTGTGTAACTCAGTTTATAAAGGTTCGTGTGTAACTCCTTTAAAAGTTTGTGTTACTCAGTTAATAAAGGTTTGTGTAACTCAGTTTATAAAGGTTCGTGTGTAACTCATTTAAAAGTTTATGCAACTCAGTTAATAAAGGTTTGTGCAACTCAGTTAATAAAGGTTTGCGCAACCCAGTCAATAAAGGTCCGTGTGTAACTCAGTTAATAAAGGTTATACTTACTGCACATCAGCTGTATGATCGAGATCTGAAAACAAATACAAACTCATTACAACGTGTATATACGTGTAACTACATCAGCTGTATGATCTAGATCTGAAAACAAATACAAACTCATTACAACGTGTATATACGTGTAACTACATCAGCTGTATGATCTAGATCTGAAAACAAATACAAACTCATTACAATGTGTATATATGTACATGTATGTATTACTACATCAGCTGTATGAACTAGATCTGAAAACAAATACAAACTCATTACAACGTGTATATACGTGTAACTACATCAGCTGTATGATCTAGATCTGAAAACAAATACAAACTCATTACAATGTATATATATATATATGTATGTATAACTACATCAGCTGTATGATCTAGATCTGAAAACAAATACAAACTCATTACAATGTGTATATTATGTGTAACTAACAATGGGTATATTATATATATGTAACTAACAATGTGTATATTATTTGTAACTAAAATGTGTATATACTATGTGTAACAAACAAAGTGTATATATTATGTGTATTACTAACAATGTGTATATTATGTGTAACTATAACAATGTGTATATTATATGTAACTATAACAATGTTTATATTATGTGTCACTATTAAATGTATATATTATGTGTAACTTAACAATGTGTATATTATGCCTAACTATACTCATGCTTAAACAATAAGTTCTGTAAGCCTAGCTCATAAATTAATGACCACCTGCTTCAATAAAATGCTCCGCTGGGGCACAGCTTGATACGACCGCAGAGGTCGAACCCTGAACAGTTGGGGCAAGTATGGACACAACATTCAAGCTTGATACAGCACTGAATTTGGATTGTAATTAAATATTTTTGACACAGCATAGGTTTCTGACACAGAATGAATGGGGTCTAAGAACTTAAATTTTTTTAATTTACCTATTCAAACCATATCATTATTATTTGCTTTTATATATAAATCAGAAATAACCAATTTAAAAATTGAAAATTTTAAAGAAAAAAACGAAAAAAAAATCCCCCCCCCAAAATTATTTGAACCCCCTTATGATTCATCACCCCAAAACTCAATCCCAGCCTTCCCTTTGTGGTATGGTACCTTGCAGTATAATTTCAGAGAGATCCATACACTTGAACACAAGTTATTGTCTGGAAACTAGAAAAATGCTTGTTTTTTTGCCCCTTTTTGGCCCCAAATTCCTAAACGTTTACGGCAATTACCCCCAAACTCAAACCCAGCTTTCCCTTTGTGATATGGAACCTTGTAGTACAATTTCATAAAGATCCATACACTTACACACAAGTTATTGTCCTGAAACTAGAAAAATGCTTGTTTTTTTGCCCTTTTATGGCCCCTAATTACTAAAATTTTGAGGGAATTACCCCCAAAATCAATCCCAGCCTTCCCTTTGTGGTATGGTACCTTGCAGTACAATTTCAGAGAGATCCATACACTTGAACACAAGTTATTGTCTGGAAACTAGAAAAATGCTTGTTTTTTGGCCCCAAATTCCTAAATGTTTAGGGCAATTACCCCCAAACTCAATTCCAGCTTTCCCTTTGTGATATGGAACCTTGTGGTACAATGTCAGAGAGATCCATACACTAACACACAAGTTATGTCTGGAAGTTACAAGAATGCTTATTTTTGGCCCCTTTTTGGCCCCTTATTCCTTAACTGTGGGTACCATAACCCCCAAAATCAATCCCCACCTTCCTTTTGTGGTATTGAACCTTATGGTAAAATTTCATTGAGATCCATTTACTTAAACTAAAGCTAGAGTGCGAAAACTAATGTGTCTTCGGACGATGACGGCAATGACAACATCATACCAATATACGACCACAAAAATTTTTTTGCAGTCGTATAAAAACTAGAGGCTCTAAAGATCCAGCGTCACTCACCTGGATCGATATGCGTCTTCAAATTTGACCTTTGTTGGATTTGGCTATTATTTTTAGGTCCTTTATGGTCAAATAACTCTTCATATTTTTCAGTATTAATACATCCTTGTCTTACAAATTATATTTAGCTTTGAGCGTTCCTGATAATGATATGGTTAATGCATAACAGAGATTCCAACACATAAAATTTATAAAGTGTTACATTCATTTTTTTATAGCACTGATCGAGTCTATACCCACTACAAGGTGGACCGTTAGTTCCCATGGGTATTAGTTTATAGCACTGATCGAGTCTATACCGCTACAAGGTGGACCGTTAGTCCCAATGGGTATTAGTTTATAGCACTGATCGAGTCTATACCCACTACAAGGTGGACCGTTAGTTCCCATGGGTATTAGTTTATAGCACTGATCGAGTCTATACCGCTACAAGGTGGACTGTTAGTCCCCATGGGTATTAGTTTATAGCACTGATCGAGTCTATACCCACTACAAGGTGGACCGTTAGTCCCCATGGGTATTAGTTTATAGCACTGATCGAGTCTATACCCGCTACAAGGTGGACCCTTAGTCCCCATGGGTATCATATCATTAGTTCAGTATTCAGTGCTTTGGTACTGACATGATTTATAACAGACATTTCTAAATTTTCTGTTATAAATTTATAAATTAATAAGAAATAAGGTTCCATTTCCTACGTCATGTACATGTACATTTAGGAGCTGAGTTGAAAATATTCATCACATTAACGGAGCTGCAGGAATGAATAGTTAGAATATCTATACCATCATTTTTTCATTACAACCATAGGGTGCCCCAGTTTCCAGTTCTTGAATCCACTAGTCTTCCTTTTGACTATGGAAGGGTTTTGCAAGATGAGGATTGTTAGTCCTGTCTGTGGTATATTTTTTATTAGTCCTATGGTATATTTTTGATTAGTCCTGTGGTATATTTTTTATTAGTCCTGTGGTATATTTTATTGATTAGTCCTGTGGTATATTTTTTTTATTAGTCCTGTGGTATATATTTTTGATTAGTCCTGTGGTATATTTTTGATTAGTCCTGTGGTATATTTTTGATTAGTCCTGTGGTATATATTTTTGATTAGTCCTGTGGTATATTTTTGATTAGTCCTGTGGTATATTTTTGATTAGTCCTGTGGTATATATTTTTTATTAGTCCTGTGGTATATTTTTGATTAGTCCTGTGGTATATTTTTGATTAGTCCTGTGGTATATATTTTTGATTAGTCCTATGGTATATTTTTTTGATTAGTCCTATGGTATATTTTTTATTAGTCCTGTGGTATATTTTTGATTAGTCCTATGGTATATATTTTTGATTAGTCCTATGGTATATTTTTTATTAGTCCTATGGTATATTTTTTATTAGTCCTGTGGTATATATTTTTGATTAGTCCTGTGGTATATATATTTGATTAGTCCTGTGGTATATATTTTTGATTAGTCCTGTGGTATATATTTTTGATTAGTCTTATGGTATATTTTTTATTAGTCCTGTGGTATATTTTTGATTAGTCCTGTGGTATATATTTTTGATTAGTCCTATGGTATATATTTTTGATTAGTCCTATGGTATATTTTTTATTAGTCCTGCGGTATATTTTTGATTAGTCCTGTGGTATATTTTTTTGATTAGTCCTATGGTATATTTTTTATTAGTCCTGTGGTATATTTTTGATTAGTCCTGTGGTATATTTTTTTATTAGTCCTGTGGTATATTTTTTATTAGTCCTGTGGTATATATTTTTGATTAGTCCTATGGTATGCAGATCCTTTATCCCCCTCAGCCCCCTTATTTAAAGAACTTGGGTGGATGACAGTTGACAATAGAATCAAATACCACAAATATTTACTTCTATATAAATGTATGCGTATGGAAGCTCCAATGTACCTAGTTCAAAAGTTTAAACTGAAATCAGATAATAATCCTTACTCCTTTAGAGGTGTCACTCAAGGTAATCTGATAGTTCCTAAGCCAAAAGCTGAGCTATTTAAGAAATCTTTTGTTTATTCTGGATCAGTGTTATGGAATGGACTACCACACAAAATGCGTAAAGCTCAAAACACTTATACTTTTAAACAAAGTATCAAGAAGTACTTAACACAGTCCTGATAAGATTATGTTTTCTACAATGTATTAATTTGTATATTCTTTTATTTTTATTTTTATTTGATTTTTTGACTACATGTGCATCTTGAACAGCCTTATATCTTATCATGTTAGTAATATTACATTGAACTAATTGACTGTAAATTAACTATGTGTAAATATCTGTTTTTGATTGTATTGTAATTTGTATGTGAGGGCCTCGGGGAAGATTAGTTTATTGTAACTAGCTGAGTTTACCCTCTTTAAATAAAGAATTTATTATTATTATTATTATTATATGAATTAAATTAATGGTTTACTTTTACAAATTGTGGCTTGGATGGAGATTTGTCTCATTGGCACTCATATCACATCTTCTTATATCTATGTGTGTGTATATAGCGCTGTATATTTAGGTTTTCAGTAGCTAAAACCAAATAACAGAATTGACTATTTTCAAAATGTATTTATACACAAGTCCTGCAGTTGGTTAATTCAACTTTAACAATTTATTTGTTTTATAAATATCTTTATAGGATATATTCCATATTCAATTATTTTAAAATGTATCATTTTTATATGCCGGTCAAAATTTTGACGGGACGTATTATGGTTTACAAATGTCATCTGTCCGTCTGTCTGTCTGTCTGTCCGGCTGTCTGTCCGGCGTAAACATGTCGCACTGTAACTTGAGAACGACTTATCCAAATTTCATGAAACTTAACATAGTTGTTTCTTATGATGGTCAAACGATCTGTATACCTTTTGGTGAAAATAAGATTAAAACTTTTTGAGTTACTGGACTTAGTAACTAAAACAGGTGTGTGGTTTTTTTTCACATGTCACGCCGTATCTCAAAAACAATTTATGATTATTGCTTAAAACTTTACACACTTCTTAGTTATATTAATCTTAAGATCTGTATACTTTTTCGTGATGATTCAAAATTTTATTTTTGAGTTATTGAGTATATATTTAATTTTGTAAAAAAAGGGGAGGGGTTTTTCACATGTCGTGTCTTATCTCAAAAATGATTTATGATTATTGCTTAAAATTTTACACACTTCTTAGTTATATTAATCTAAAGATCTGTATACTTTTTGGTTTTGATTCAAAATTTTATTTTAGAGATATTGATTTATTTTTTTTTTAAAAAGGGGGGGTTTCACATGTCACGACGTATCTCAAAAACGATTTATGATTATTGCTTAAAATTTTACACACTTCTTAGTTATATTAATCTAAAGATCTGTATATTTTTTGGTTTTGATTCAAAATTTTATTTTAGAGATATTGAGTTTTTTGTAAAAAAAAAGGGGGGGTTTTTGCATGTCGCGCCGTATGTCAGAAACTATTTATGATTATTGCATAAAAATTCACACACAAGACGATGGGTGTATCATGCGCTCATGGCGCAGTTGTTTATTCAAATAACCAATCACATTCAGTAATGAATCCGGTTCCTTAACTGGAAGAAGAAGAAATTGTTTCCATAAAATTCGGTGTGAGCCAAGGCTCCGTGTTGAAGGCCGTGTTGAAAGCAAATACACAGAAAAACTTCAGCAATCCAATAAATATGAATATTACAATTAGTGACAATTTAAAAGCATATGATTTTATAGATTTGCAAAGAAAAATTATTTAAATCTTATTCGTTAATAAGCATTATTGTGTTATCGTGTGTTCAAAATGAGTACTAATCACTTCATCGATGTATGGATCTAAAGCACTAGTGTAATTAATCCCGGTATAAAATAACTAGTGCAATCATTCCGGTACAAAATCACTAGTGTAATCATTCCTGTTCCTGTTTAAAAACACTAAAGTGAACATTCCTGGGATGAAAACTCTCCACTTTTTACATAAATCAACTATGCAAGTTTCAAATACACTAAAAACTATAAAGCCACATTTTATACATGTTTCCCCTTCAAAAAACCCTTTTTAGAACCTTATAATGACTGGTGGATGTTTTACACTGGACCCGGATAGAAAAACCTAGTGAATTTTTGTTGGTGGATAAAAATCACAGGGGATTTTCTTCCTCCGGATAAAGTACACTGGCGGATTCAAACCACTGTTACAATACCACATCTTCTTATATCTATATAACTACTGTACACCTTACGATAATGAACTGTATCTATATGATCTCAACATCTCTAGACAGGTTTAATCCATGGCCAATTATAAGCGAATAGATTTATAAGATATGAGTAAAAAGATATGTGGAGTAAACATCAATGAGACAGTTTTTACCACAAAATGGCAAACATAAAAATCTTGCATACCAAATAGCACTATACATGTATCTACATATAAATCTTCCATAATATGCACAGTACATGTACATAATGGCATACATATCATCTTCCATAAACTACGCATACACCTTATCGCTATTTGTCCGCCATTACTGGACATAACAATGGTTCCTGTAAAATTTTGACGTCACAATAGGAAATACGGCGGGGGCATAATAACTGACACCACAATGGAAAAGTGGCCTAGATTTCCAAATAGCCATAAATTTAAGGTGTAAATTGCCTTAATTGGCATACATATATTAATATTTTTCTATCAAACAGTCAAGGTACAAAAATGGACAGGTACGAAATGGTTAGGGTTCGAAATGACTATTAATTATACCAAGGATTTGTATAGTGACAACTATATGAAGTCCATTCTTGACGACGACGACAACGTCATACCAATATACGTATAAAAATTGTTAATTATGTGGCTTTCTTGTCTGCTTCAGACACGAGGAGGACTGTGTAAATAACACAGCTCCTTGAGTACCGCCCCTTGGTGTCTGTTGCAGTAGGGAAACCTACACTATTCTTAATACCTATTACTGCAGTATACTTTATTTGCTGTGAATACACATGAACATTTTTTTTGCATTTGTGTTTGTTTTTCTGCATCAGATACGAGGAGGATTGTTAGAGCTTTTAAGCTCACAATCCTAGAGCATCGTCCCTTGGTGTCTGTTGCAGCTAAACAATCATCTATATGTATATTTATACATTTCCAGCAAAACATTTTAAAATCAAGTGAGAAAAAAAAAAAGTTTGCCACATCTCTGGAGTAGCAACTCTTTAACATGTTAAATACTTTTTATTTAACATATAATACCTGTATGACTTTATTTCAATAGTTGAAGTTTATTATATGAATGTCATGTAAAATACTGTATGTTGTATCAATTATATATGTTATGTGTATATGCCCCCCTAGGAACCTAATTTGGAAAATAAATCTTATCTTATCTATATTGTAAATATATCTTGTTTTATAAACTATTTGACTAACACTCATATTTGATGTCTGGAATTGTTCTTTGATCACCACATGCCATCTTTTAAGTGATTTTATCGTTTTTGTCACCTGCAATAGTTGTACTTGTGTATATATATTTGGTTGTAGAATAAATATTGTGCAATGAACAAGATTGTTACTATTTGTTGAAAAACAAACGTAAAACCCCCTTGCTAAATTTAGTAGCTTTGTTCCGAATGAACTTCCGTCCGAATTGACCAATCAGAAACATAGATACGATATTTGTTCCAACATGGAAGACAGCGAAGATAGTGGTGAATTTGAAGATTTGGAAATTGATGAACATCATGTTATTAAGATCCAGGTCTCTTATATTTTATCTTAGTATTGTTCAATATCCTGATATTACTACTGATGTTAACTTGTAGAAAAAAAACTAACCGACAGTAACTGTGTGGAGGAAAATCGTAGACAAAATGGCCTTTATAATTATTATACGAATAGAATATGCCCAATGGAATGCCACCAATGGCAGTGGGTCTTCAACACAGTGAGAAAATCCTGCAGCCGGAGAAGGGCTTCAGCTGGCCCCTAAACAATAATGTATACTACTATCACTAGTTCAGCACAAATGGACGTCACACTAAACATGCTAAACTCCAAAACATATCCCTGAGGAACCAGTAATGACGCACCTAAGGTTGTTTTTGTCTCTGCATTTAATCTATGATTTAAAAGAATTAGAAAAACGGAATGGAATAAAAGATTGATAACTTGTTATTATATTTCAATTATTAAACAGTTGATATTTGAAACAGTAATAGCAATAAAAATCATGTTTGCTAACATTACAAACGGACTGCCAACTAATGATGGGTACCAGTAATGACGCACTGTAAACAAACCAGTAAAAACCACTTGTACGTAACTGATAATCGAAAAATTGCTTCAATCCGGATTCTTTAAAGTTAAAACTGTTCAACAGATTCAATTTTATTAACAACTTTTGAAATTTTCATTCATTTTAATGATCATGATGATTGTAACACCAAATTTTTAATCAATTTAATTGTAACCTATATTTTGATATATAATTGTCCAAAATTTATGAAAGTGATATATATATATTCCATATATTTGAAAATAAAAAGTAATTGCATTCATAAAACAACATTGACAATAATACATTTATCAATGTACATATGTGAGCCAAAATTTGTTCCTGTGAAAAAAGTTCCAGTGGAACTAATATCACAGGAAATATGTTCTGGGAGAACTTTTTTCACAGATGATTTCTATATAATTTGTTCAATCTCTATAAAATATGTTCCACACTTTACACATGTACCTGGTGAAATAAGTACCGGGTTGGTGAAATTTGTTCCTTACCTGGTGAAATAAGTTCCGGGTTTATGAGATTTGTTCCTTATCTGGTGAAATAAGTTCTGGGTTTGTGAGATTTGTTCCTCACCTGGTGAAATAAGTTCCTTGTCTGTGAAATATGTTCCACTGGTTAAACAAGTTATCTTATATACTGAGCATTTGTCATCAGTGAGTTTAAAGTTATCATTCAAGAGCATTATAAAAATAAGTATTATATCAATAATAAAAAAAGTAAAAAGTGTAAATCATCCAATTCGGATCATGTGGAGTATAGCAAATGTTTAATTATATACTCTGTAAAAAATATTAAAATGACACTTTTCAGCCAGAAAAGAGTAGAATAAGAAATATCAATCATTCAGAAAAAAAAGTATAGTTAAAGATGAACATATGTACTTATTTGAAAAGGACAAAGTGACTTGACTGATCAGTTATATCAAAAGACATGTAGAAACAAAAGACACACTATTTTGAAACTGTGCTATGACCTAAGAACATGTATGACTAGAACACACGGCCATGACAGTTAACAAAAACCAAGGAGGAATACCACATAAAACATAAATACAAATTATGATACATTACCATTGCTTTTATTTCTTATCTTCATCCTTTAGTTACAGTCATGCCTTCAATTGCAAATGTATTCCATGCAAGCACACTCAGTACAGCACTCAGCTTGCATTATAATTTAAATGTAACAAGAAAATATTTTGCTTGCAATTTGTTGCAAAGGTACTTATTTTCTGTGAAAATAGGTTTGAGCTAAACTTAGTTATTCATTGATTTCTATGAAATATGTACACGTTCGTTTAAAACAAATATCACAGGAACTTATTTAACTTTTTAAAACTCTTAATATTAATTGGAACAAAATTCATGGAGCTATGATTTTTGTTCCGGAACTTATTTCACATTTGGTCATAAAATTAGTTCCGGAACAAATTTTACAGTGCTGGAACATATTTTCTGTGATATAAAGTCCGGTGGAACATATTTCCTATGAAATTTGTTCCGGCGGAAAAAATGTCACGCTGGAACAAATTTTTTGTTACACATACGTATACTTCATACATTGAATGAAAAAAAAATCGATAAACCATAGAAAATTATATAAGCTACGATCATTTGTTCTACAGTGATTCCCGCTTAAATGTAAAGCCATGTCACATGACAGTCACGTGATTTGAAAAACACAAAATGGGGAAGCATACGGTTACATACTTTTCTTGACCAAAGTGGAGATAGGACTGATTATCTTTTGGGGAAGGGTAGAATTTTTTTGACCTTAATAAAATGGCGGAAATTGCATTGTCTTTAATATTTTAAGCAATAATAACATTTCTGGGCAGAGTTTTAGGCATCTTTGTTGTAGTCAGATGACCTTCAACATCATGTTATGAACAGCAAATGTTGATGACGTCACGGCTTTTGTTTAGAAATATAAAACCGTTAACTAAATCGGTGCGTCATTTCTGGTCCGCGTCAAAACAGGTACCAAGACGATATATATATAAATGAACCAAAATAAACAAAAAACAAAAAACACACACACACAAGACCAGAGGCAGAGGTAGAACAGGTGCAAGAAAATCAACTTGTCTGGGACTTCTGAAGTCACTTACCAGAATCAAAAGTTAAAAAGTTAAACAATGCTGTGAGTGTGCAAACCTTTTTTTTCGAGTTTAGCCCTTTCCAACCCAGTTTGTAATTCTAAAATTTATGGGACGAAGATAAATAAGGAAAATCCAAGTTTTGTACATCTTCGTGACAATTTATATTCGTGTTATTATGCTCCACTTACGGGCATATGATTTTCGGTCTGTTCATCCGTTCGTTCGTCCGTCTGTCCCGCTTCAGGTTAAAGTTTTTGGTCAAGGTAGAAGTTGAAGTCCAATCAACTTGAAACTTAGTACACATGTTCCCTATGATGTGATCTTTCTAAATTAGAGTTTTGACCTAATTTAACTGTCCACTGAACATAGAAAATGATAGTGGGAGTGGGGTATCCATGTTCTATGGACTCATTCTTGTTTTTTCTACTTGTGAAACTCGCAAAAATAATGTTAATTAATCCAAGAGAAAAGGAAAGTGATGATGCAATTAATCATGTTATACACTCATGCTATAAAACCTGAGGAAATGGACATTTGTTTACCTTTAATCATGTTTACCAGCAATCATGGCAATATATAGTTGTCAATTAATTATTCAATGATTGAAACCAATGCACTTAAATTGATAATTATGTTAATAAGTTATGCAACTCTTTAGAAATATGTCTACTCAATAATTGCAGGTGATAAAAAGTTCTAATTTGATGATTTTTCTCTTGTCTCATTGGACAACTCATATGTTGATTCTATGTACTTGTCCTGGACTTTCAAACAAATTGTGGAGCCTGGATTCTTGGGTCAAGTTTCGCTGATTCTCAAATAGCCAAAAGGTCTATACAACCCTCAGATATCTTTATAAGATATACTGTAATGACAATTAGGATTTGTGGCATGATTGCTTGTAAAACAACTATACACCAGAGTTCAAATGATGTGAATGAAAATAACTGTATAAAGGTCATTGTATCGATAAGCCTAACACAGACCTTGTAATTATTTGGTTTACTTATACATAGCCCATGGGATCAAAAGCACTCCTCTAAAAAGGAAAACATCAAGGAAGAGTTCCCAGTAATCTAGATTCTTGTAGTAGAGGAAAATGTTCACGCTAGGTCCATAATGAAAAAGTATGTTCTAGTATACTAAAAAAATAATGGAAAATTTCATCAAGAATAAACAGAAAATGTAAAATGTCAGCAATACAAACCTTTATTATATAATAAGTAGTAAATACAAATATATTGTACAGTGCTCCAGTTAGAAATCAAAAGGGGCAGGGTGCCAGTGGAGGGCAGGGCACTTTTTTATGAAAGGAAAAGGCACTGCTCATTTCTTTTGTCTACGTTTCTGTGTGTATTACGAGTTCACATTCTTTTTTTTACTGTATATGTTGTTAATAAAGATGCATAAGTTGTTGTTTTGATTATTTATTCTATAAAATTTGCATTAGAAAATGTAATTCATACGACATGTTCATAAAACATGTCAATACACATTCATACATCACATCACTATAAACCAATAGAGGCAAATTAACTTACTATTCTCCCCCACCCCCCTTTTCCAAAAAAAAACCCAACATAGTTTAGCATGTTTAGCATACATGTGACAGAGTTGTCTTATTTAAAAATTTTCAGCTAGAGTTTGGCCCTCAAAACTTTTTTTCATTGTTTGTGTTAAGGAATTATTTAGTAAAACTTTATTATGTTGATGTCACATGATAGTTTAACTTCACACTACCCATTTTTGTAGGATTCCAGCTTAACATCATCATAATAATTGATCTTATAAATTTCTGAATTGACATTCTATAGAACATGGATTGCTAAAAGTATGAATATCAAAAATAAATTGCAATATTTTTTTTTTGGTATGTTCAAAGACAGTTAATATCCTTAAGGTAACATTCTTATATAATTTTGTATTCAATTGGTAATTTAATCCTATTTTTAATACTAGATAATATTTTAGGAGCACAAATTTGTAATAAGCTAAAACAGGGGAAGTAACTCCAAAATTAATTTCTAACACGTTTACTGTTTGCTTGACGCTCACAAGTTGAGATGGACAGCGTTTCTGTGAAGGCATAGTTTTATTTTGATGACTTAAATTCTATTCTAAAATCATGAAAGTCTTCATTTATACACTCTTTTTGGAGATCGAAAATGCCGACCCTAGCTAAAAACACTCGCTGACACAATCATCAAATTTATGACAAAAAGGTACATTGTCTTAATTAAATTACCTAGTTATCATCACCATAGATGTATAAACCCATGGGTTTATACATCTATGTTAACACCTTTGAAGTCTTATCCACTGTAATTGATTGTAATGACATGATTAACCTGGGGGCAATAACCTGGTGTCATATATGTAATTTAACTTTGTGATAAGAAATCGATGAAACAAAAGGCAATTTTACCAAAACGGCACAAGGGTTTTTGGGGAAAAGGCATCAGGGCAGAAGGGCGCAGATGAAGGCACCCAGGGCACGGCACCCTTCTATTTTGGGCTAACGAGACCACTGTTGTATGTGTAATATGGTCAACGGCAATCGTGCTGTATCAGCTATTCCTGATGATATCGATATCAGTTAATGTTGAAAAGGTTTTATCACACCTTTAATCTGTAAGACATCACATCATCGATTTCAGTCATTCATGATTGTTGCAAAGGCTTTATCAAACCCCTAATATGTATGATGTCATGTAAAACCTCTAATCTATATGACATCATGTCAAATTTCTAATCTGTATGACATCATGTCACATAAAAAACATCTACGTGAAGTATATGTATATAATAAAGTGTATATGATATGGCTTTTCCAATATCACACACCGTATCAACCCTCAACCAATATAATCCCTCGAGCAGAGCTCTTGGGATTATATTGGTGTTGATTATATTGGTGTCTGTTGATACAGATGTGATATTGAAAAAAACATATGATATTCGAATTCTCTTTTTACGTCCAGAAGGAAAGACAGACAACACCAGATGGCCCAAAAGATCCTGTTCTATTAATGCCTCCTGTCATGTTCTTGCTGTAAAAATCTGTTAGGTACATGTACGTACTAAATAGGCTGTAACCATGGTAACACTTGATGGCATCTGCACCAAAAGCTGTGGGTGGACTCAGGTGCTTTGGATAGGTTGACAGTTCCTTTTCCATTAACGACAACTTTCATGTTACTACTAAGCACTGTTAAAATCTGTTTAGGTAAATGGGGTGTAACCATGGTAACACCATCTAGACCAATAGCTATGAACGAACACAGGTGCACTTGATGGGTTGACAGATCCTGTTCAGTTAATGACTCGAGTCGTGTTACTTCTGTTTATATCTGTTTACATGTAGGTAGATCTGGTGTTACACACCATCTTCACCAAAAGCACCAAATTAACCTAAATCTGGAAAAAGTATTCTGCCATCTGGATCACAAATATATATTTCAGGGCAATTTAGAGCTGAACATACAGTATTGTAAAGACATCTGCCTATTGTTCAAATCTATGTTGACATCAAAATAATTTCAGATGAAGTTCAAAATTGTCCGTCATTTTCATTGTTCAATGTTCAACATAAAAACTGTGCTACATGTGTAAGGTCAGTTTCTTATCTTTCTATGAGTAATTGTCTTGATCAACATAAAGTTTATTTTGGTTACTAAACAATGCTAAAGGTCAGTTTCTAAACATTCTATAAAGTTACTATGAGCAATAGTTACATAACATTTGATGCAAGTGCAAGACCTTGGCCTCATTTTCATGGTTCATTGATCAACATTAAGTTTTATAGATACATGTAGTAAAACTTTCATCCCAAAGCTATATTATTATTGAGTTATAATCAGTTAATCAGACTAGACTTCTAAGCATGTGCACTCTTGGTACACCTGTGGTCCAAAAAGAATTACATCGATATCAGGATTTTGGTCAACAACCCTTGAAAATGACAGATAAAAGAATTTTGTTTTAATTTTAGGCATGGATCAGAGGAGATATGGTCAGAAAATGGTTTAATGAAATACGATCAGAGTATGAAAAGCTAGTTTCTGATATTGAAAAAAGTAAATCAGTCATTGTGGAATGGCCAAATGCAGCACTGGGCATGCCAAGAGTCAGGAAACACAAGCTAAAGAGAAATGTTCAAGAAGTTCCTCCTAATGTTTCAGCACGTAACTCACCAAATATTGAATTTCTGAGAAGCTCTGTAAAATATTCCGAAGTTCATGCCAAGTCAAAAGACACAACAGAAGTTTATCATATTAATTCTACAAGAAGTTGGAACTCAAGTGATTTCTCTGAAACTTCCTATAAACCTGTTGTTCAGAGTTTGAAGCATACAGAATCCCAGGGAAATTCAGGTGTTATTTCTAATTTCACACATCAATCATTAACAAATAAAATCAACAGTTGCACCATTGAAACACAGACTAGTATGGACGAAGAAACCCTATCAGTGGTAGAAAGACACCAAAATAACAATCCAAGGGAGACAATTGGACAACCAACAAGGGAGACAACTGGACAACAAAATCCAGTTAGAACATTTGATATGTTGATTCAGACTGATGATCTACCATTTTACAAGGAAGAAAAAAATATAGACCTACAGACTGAAAAGATGTGCACACAGGTACACACTACGAATAGACAAATACTGGAACAAAAGATTAACAAGTTTGAAAACCAACTACGGACACTGAACGATGTATCATTGAAAGACTCAGTACAAGATTCAAGTAAGACATCTGCTCAAAATAACAAAACTCCTTCACAGTTGGGTCAGAAAGTAGGTCCTATTTCTGCGCTACAGTTTGGAGGTTCTCCTAAACAGGAGACAGTTCAATTATCATCTGTAACGGAATCTCAAAGAGGAAGACGGCCAAGCTATCACCAGGAATCCTCAGTATTGACTAATGTGACTTCAGTATGGGATAGCTTTAGTTCTGATTGTAAAGGTAGGTAAACAATCAACTCATTTTAATGCAGATTAAAAATATAGAAATGATCTGTAGATAGGAAAAACAATCAAAGTACTGACATACTGTTTACTCAAAGACCAAAAAAGAAATTGATAAATAGGAAAAACAAAAAGGAAATTGATTGATATGGAAAACAACCAGAGTACTGATGTACTGTTTACTCACTGAGCTTGAGATAAGCTTCGTATTTGCCTGATTACGCAATAAAAACAATTGAAAACCCAATTCTAATGACAATTGCAGCATTCGAAACCCAATTACAAAATGCATATATTTCAAAACTATGCGTTCTTCACCCTACCTCTTGTTATCATGTGCGTATTTTACCCTTCTCGATAAATTGTTGTCTCATAAATCTATTTTTGTAATATCAGGAAATCAGAGTTAGGAAATCTACTTTTGTATTAAAAATAGAGCGTTACATCAAATTTCTGATCTGGGTCCCTGTTGGAAGGAATTGTCTGTTACTCAAAGCTATATCCCCATTTATTAACATAAGGGACCAGTTTATAAAATTTTCTTTGACAGACCATGAGTTGGAGAGGCAGAAAAAAAGCACAGCTAGTAACAAAGTCATATATTATGTTGAACTATTGACAACAGACCGATGTGCAGAAGCACAAAAGTATGCAAGTCACATTATCAATTCCTTAATGGAGAAGGCAACAACTCCGTAATTAAACGGGAGTCTCATATATATATATATATATATATATATATATATACAGTGTTCCTGCCTGCCCTAAATAGAAGGGCGGCCCGCCCTTGGTGCCCTTACCTCCGCCCTTCTGCCCTCAAAAGTAAAAGAATGCACCCCTCTGCCTTTTCAAAAAAATAAAATTTCAAAATTTTATGCCTACTGGCGTTTCCGGTAAAATTGTTACCTGATTGTGTAACACTAATTAACTGACAATGGGATTAAGTTAAATACCTAATGCTTTGGCAGTTTTATCACCTTTGTTAATGATTGTTTACTGCTAATTAGTGGATTTAAGATAATTGAACAAATACTAGATATTTAATACTGAATGAAATGTCCACATGTTATCCATTTGTAATGTTTATGTACAGCATGTACACCTGAAAAAATTTATTTCAGAGGGCATAACATAAAAAATAAAATCTTAAACAATTTTAAATGCATACATAGTTTTGACTTAATTGGTAAAAAATGTTTTGTTTCATAACCATGAGTATGAAATTTAAAGAGGAATCAAAGAAATTTGTACTTTGAACATAACAAGATTCACTTCCTGTTTTTAATACTTCTTGTATTTTATAATCCTCTTGACATGGAGCACTCAACAAATTTATTTTTAACAATGATGGAGAAAAAAGTAACTGTTTATACTTTCTGCAATATATTATTGCATCAATATAAATATGATCATCTCCTGTCTCACCTGTTATATTTATAAAACTCCTTACTGAGGAGCACTTTGGCATGTTTGGTGTGCACTTAAAAATACTTTTTTGTAACAATTTAAAAGATAATAAATAACTCTCAATAACATATATACTATATGTTTGAACAAGTAATTTAAATGTAGATAATTTAATTACATTCAACATTCAATTTTGCATGTATAACTCCATCTTTCAAAACTACTTGTTTATTTTGGTATAAGTTATAAAACATTGAAATTTCTGATGATTATTTTCCATACCAAATGTACAAGTTTGTTTAGATTAACATCAGAATGAAATGCTTTGCTTCATGGTATGATAATTTGATGAAAAAAAATTCTTACTGGAACCAACATCAAGAACACATTAATTTCTGAATATGGTTTAAATACAACTAATGTTCTCCAGCTGAGCCTAGCAATATTCAAGGTAATTTATACACTTTCCAACACTGCCCTTAAAATCTGGGTTATAACGCTAAAGTGCCCTTTCAGACAACTAGCACCCTTCTGCCCTGAGATTCAAGCTGGAACACTGATATATATATATATATATATATATATATATATTGCTCTGAAAGTAAGCCTACTGCAAGCTGCCTCAGACAACAAAATTACAACATGTACAAGTGTTTGGGGCCATAAAGGGAACCCAAATATTCAGCTGTCAGCAGTGACAAGATAAAATGAGAGCGCTGAACATATGGATATCATCAACAAAAATTGACACATTGCCAAATTTGCTTCTGATATTGAACATGTTGAATACGGTGATAATGAAGCAGAGTCTGACTCACACTTCATTCTTATAAATCATGACAACATTTTGTTCAAAACTATTTCCCATACTTGGGAAAATAAAATGCCAACAAGCAATGTCAACAGATTATTATAATAATCCCAACAAAAACCAGGGGTGATCATATGTGCTCTAGAAAGGCAATCAGTTACTGCCCCACCAGGGCTTCCAAAAAATATTTGACCCAGCCGGACATTTTATATAAGAGAGGGACGAAAGATACCAGAGGGACAGTCAAACTCATAGATCGAAAAAAAACTGACAACGCCATGGCCAAAAATAAAAAGACAAACAGACAAATCATAGTACAGATAACACAACATAGAAAACTAAAGACTAAGCAACACGAACCCCACCAAAAACTGGGGGTGATCTCAGGTGCTCCTGAAGGGTAAGCAGATCCTGCTCCACATGTGCCAATGTCGTGTTGCTTATGTTATTACAAATCCGGTAAATAGTCTAATTCGGTAAGTCACATTCGTGAAAAGGGAAGGGTATTGTAGTTACGACATAAGGAACATATCCGATATCATCTGTGAAACGGTTATTCCATCACGGTCAGCCAACTTGTGATGGCGTCCGTAAAATTTACGAAGGGATGATTTCAACTTTTATATCTTATCCTGATTTTAATCCCTTTAGACTTAGTAACAAAAGGCAATTATGGTAATCAGTTGGCCATCATATAACCAATGATTGACATTAAAACGATATTAAACTTTACTTTGTTATAAATTCGATGTTCTGACATAAACTGTTAAATAGACAGTGCATCATTCGAAGTGTGCAACATCAGCGTACTAATTCTGCCTTAGACTCTTTATTTGTGCAAAATAACATTGTCAAAAACTTTACTTTCGTCTTTAAAAAGCACAATTTTCCTAATACCGGATGTTGACTTGACAATGGTAAAACGTGTACGTTTACAAAGCATGATTGAGTTTAAGTAGCTCTTTCCAAGTTATTTCTTCAAGAAAATACTCGAAATGAAGGTTAGATAAAGGTATCAATGATAATTTTAGCATTTTTGAAGAATTATATTAGGATGCTTAAATTAAATTTCCCACCTGCGTGTGACAGAATATAAGTTCCCCCATAATATTTGTTCCAAAGAACTTATAGCATATAACAAAAGTTCCATTGGGAACTTTCCTTATATAATATTTTATCCAATGCTACATTGTATAAGAAAATTTCCTTCACAAAGGATAAAATATTACATATAAAGGAAAGTTCCCAATGGAATTTTTGTTATATGCTAAAAGTTCTTTGGAATAAATATTATGGACAATGACAATGTTTTATATAATAAAAGTTCCAGGAATATTTGTTATATTATAAAAGTTCCAGGATAATTTGTTATATTATAAAAAGTTCCAGGAATATTTGTTATATTTAAAAGTTCTAGGTATATTTGTTATATTATAAAAGTTCCAGGCATATTGGAATATTGGCTATATTATAAATGTTTCAGGAATAGTTATCATGGTTATTAGAAAATTAAAGTTCTAGAAATATTTATTATAAATATGATCAAAGTTCTAGGAATATATACTACAATATCCAAAATTATTTCTAGCTACAAATGTATGGAAGTAAATTTCCAATAATAAAGTACAGGCATTTTCATCTGAAATTTGTGACTAACTTCATGCTTGACTAAAGTATAAGCTAAACTTTCTTCATTGGTACAGACTAACGAACCATTTAGTTAAGTAAGTCACAGTAGAGCATGCAGTAATAAAATATTAAAAATATATATTCTTACCTTGTTTAGAATAAGAGCCATCGTTTAAATATGTACAATTTTTGTATTATTCCTCAGACTCCATTCTTTGTATGTACTACATGTACAGGTAAATGTCATGTGAGGTGAACATTAATTAAGATGTAATCAGGTGTTAAAAATCAAATGACACTCTTTCTTTAAAGGAACAAATATTATGAAACCATATGACGTTTTAGTTCCAGGAAAATATCTTATGAAGGTGGAAATAGTATTATGTAATGTTTGTTCCCAAGAACTTTTATTATCCATAGTTTGTTCCAGGGGGAACAAGTATTATGTGGAACAAATATATGTTCACATGCGCACACGTGTACTAGTTCAAACAACGTGGTTCTGACGATTTTTCGTTAAAACCTTTTTAAATTTTTCATCAAATCATATTTATAAACGTATTTCTTATAATTTCAATCTTTTAGACTAAATTAATTAGATGAAAACCGCTGAAATGTAAGAAAATAACTTTGAATAGACCGATCAATGTCTGGTACAAAATAGTTTACCTGTCGTCTGAACAGGTAAATTTCTCTCTGACATTGTACCACAGGGTTCCATATCACAAAGGGAATGCTGGGATTGATTTTGGAGGTAAAAGTCTCAAAATTTTTGGAATTAGGGGCCAAAAAAGGAAAAGGTGCAAAAAACAAGCATTTTTCTAGTTTCATGACAATAACTTGTGTGTTAGTGTATGGATCTTTCTGAACTTGTACTACAAGGTTCCATATCACAAAGGGAAAGCTGGAATTCAGTTTGGGGGTAATTGCCCGAAACGTTTAGGAATAAGGGGCCAAAAATAAGAATTTTTCTAGTTTCCAGACAATAACTTGTGTTCAAGTGTATGGATCTCTCTGAAATTGTACTGCAAGGTACCATACCACAAAGGGAAGGCTGGGATTGATTTTGGGGGTAATTGACTCAAAATTTTAGGAATTAGGGGCCAAAAAGGGGCAAAAAACAAGCATTTATCTAGTTTCAGGACAATAACTTGTGTGTAAGTGTATGGATCTTTATGAATTTGTACTACAAGGTTACATATCACAAAGGGAAAGCTGGTTTGAGTTTGGGGGTAATTGCCCTAAACGTTTAGGAATTTGGGGCCAAAAAGGGGCCAAAAAACAAGCATTTTTCTAGTTTCCAGACAATAACTTGTGTTCAAGTGTAAGGATCTCTCTGAAATTGTACTGTAAGGTACCATACCACAAAGGGAAGGCTGGGATTGAGTTTGGGGGTGATGAATCATAAGGGGGTTAAAAAAATTTGGGGGAGGGATTTTTTTTCCTTTTTTTTTCTTTAAAATTTTCCATTTTAAATTGGTTATTTCTGATTTATATATAAAAGCAAATAATAATTATATGGTTTGAATAGGTAAATTAAAATTTTTTAAGATCTTAGACCACATTCATTCTCTGTCAGAAACCTATGCTGTGTCAAATATTTAATCACAATCCAAATTCAGTGCTGTATCAAGCTTGAATGTTGTGTCCATACTTGCCCCAACTGTCCAGGGTTCGACCTCTGTGGTCATATCAAGCTGCGCCCAGCGGAGCATTTTATTATAAATTTACTGTTTGCAAAATTATGAATTATTCGAAATACTACAGATTTTCTTATCCCAGGCATAGATTACCTTAGCCGTATTTGGCACAACTTTTTGGAATTTTTGGTCTTCAATGCTCTTCAACTTTATACTTGTTTGGCTTTTTAACAATTTTGATCTGAGCTTCACTGATTAGTCTTATGCAGACGAAACACGCGTATGGCTTATCAAATAATAAGCCTGGTACCTTTGATAACTATATATTACCAATACATTCAGGAGCTTGGTGGTGAAAAACCCCAATTTGAAATTTGCTTGTGGGGCAAAGTAGAATTAATAATGCAAATTAAAAAAATATTTATGTAAAAAACCCAATTGGTGAATTTGAAGCTCTGTACTCGGATGCCCAAAATGGGGAAAACGAAAAGGAAATTGAAAAATACATTTAGGAAAACAAATAGGAAATTGATAAATCATTTGAGGAAACAAAAAGGAAATTGATAGAGTATAGGGAAACAAAACAGAAATTGATATTTGAATTTATAAATGAAAACTTTGCAAATCTTCAACACAAACATTTTTATATTTTATAAAAAGTTAAATAAAACAAATTATTGCTATTTTGGTTTTTTTCCTTTGATAATTTTTCATATCATGCTAAATCATGTAAATATTAATGACGTCATAAGCAAAATAGTGATAAAGGGATTACAATTGTCATTTTGTGACCTTTCATAGCTGACTATGAGGTATGGGATTTACTCATTGTTGAAGGTGACCTATAGTTGTTTAATAATACATCAAACTCCAGGATGTTTCTCTGGTTTTGTCGGTTTATTGTGTTTTCCTTATGGATAGCTATAGATATTATCAACAAATTTTAAAACCAACAAAATCTTAAACTACACAGAATATTACTTTCACATACTGGATACCATAAAAATTGGTCCCTATGAAATAAAACTTTATAGAGTCAATACAATGTGAAATTTGACCTAAAAAAATTAATCATTGTGAAATTAAATTTAGAGTAAAACCTAATATAACAAAATTTAGCCCTTGGAAAATTCATCTGCATGAAATCTTGTTTAATAGAGACAAATCCAGGAAATTAAACATGTAAAAAATGAATGTTTCCCAACTCTACGGTAGTTATTCATGAACAAGACATATATAGGATGTCTGGATAACTGTGATGTTCAAGGAAATCATGGTTATGATGTAGTAAATATGTGTGAGTCACAGGTTTGTCATTTGTTTTACGAATTTTTAGTCAATCAGTCACATGTAAAACATCAAATGAGTTAGATACAAAACAACATGAATAAACCAAAATATAAACACTCCAGTAAAGGTTTTATCTTTGTTTACAGAGAATACACCTTCTATTGTATACCCCAATGATCCTAAAGGTTTTATCTTTGTTTACAGAGAATACACCTTCTATTGTATACCCCAATGATCCCAAAGGTTTTATCTTTGTTTACAGAGAATACACCTTCTATTGTATACCCCAATGATCCCAAAGGTTTTATCTTTGTTTACAGAGAATACACCTTCTATTGTATACCCCAATGATCCCAAAGGTTTTATCTTTTTTTACAGAGAATACACCTTCTATTGTATACCCCAATGATCCTAAAGTTTTTATCTTTGTTTCCAGAGAATACACCTTCTATTGTATATCCCAATGATCCCAAAGGTTTTATCTTTGTTTACAGAGAATACACCTTCTATTGCACACCCCAATGAGCCTTAAGGTTTTATCTTTATTTACAGAGAATACACCTTCTATTGCATACCCCAATGATCCTAAAGGTTTTATCTTTATTTACAGAGAATACACCTTCTATTGTTTACCCCAATGATCCTAAAGGTTTTATCTTTATTTACAGAGAATACACCTTCTATTGTATACCCCAATGATCCTAAAGGTTTTATCTTTATTTACAGAGAATACACCTTCTATTGTATACCCCAATGATCCTAAAGGTTTTATCTTTATTTACAGAGAATACACCTTCTATTGTATACCCCAATGATCCTAAAGGTTTTATCTTTATTTACAGAGAATACACCTTCTATTGCATACCCCAATGATCCTGAAGCCTTGAGAGGAATGAGGAAAAATGTTGCTATGGAGTTACTATGGGTACAGCAGGCTATTGATAGCAGGAAAAATGTAAATATGAACAAATATATATTTACCTTTTTTTTAATTTTTAATTTCAAGTCGGATTTGGTTCAAAATGCATCTTAAATCTTCTGAACAGAACACTTGTATAAAGTCAATGAAATTTTCCTGAATTTCCTGGATGAACTCAGGTGCTCTTGAATTAAAACATGCAAATAATCAGGACTTTGTGTTAGCTTTATTTTTGCTGTAAGTTGTCTGTTTACTGCAGAGAATCACACAAAAAATGTAATTAAGTTATCTCCCTTGATGCCCACCTACTTTTAGTTATGTAACATAATGAACATTCATTGTAAATAAATTATTATTTTGTTCATTTTCAGTATCTAAAGTTAAAGAATCAGATGAGAGTTGCCACTTGACATCATGTTGTTGATGACAAAAATGGGAGATAATACATGTAATATCTTCTTGATAGGGGAGATAAAAAATATATTCCAGCTAGGAAGGGGAGATAAAAAAAAGTATACCCAACTAGAAAGGAAGGAATATGATACTAGAGATTAGTTGACATGGACCAAAAATAAGATATTTGTAGACAGTGCCATTTATAAGAAATAAAACTTTTATTGATTTCTGTATATTTTTCTTCAAAACTTGACCAAAAAAGGTTTTCCTCTTATTTAGCGTCTGTATGAAACCGTTAGGGAACGACCAAGGGGGAGTTATGGTTTTTTCCTAAAAAAATATTCTGATCCCCAATTTGATGGAAAAAAATATTGTGGTCAAGCAGATGACAAAAAAAAATATTCTGAATCCAGATTTTCCGCATACCTTATAGTGTTAAATTTTGAAAAAAATAATTTGATTGATAGCATCAAAAAAACAAAATAAAAATGTTTGTGCTGTGCCCTAAAAAAAATTTCTGACGCAGACAAAAAACCATACCTCCCCATTTTATTGGTATATGTAGACCACAAACTTAAATTTTCTATTGGCTGTTATGCAAACTTAGGCAAAACCACAAAAATAAAATATCAAGGGAATTGCATTTTCCCATCAATCCATGAAAATAAATGAATCCACAGTAAGGAGATAAGAAAACTACCATCAGAGGACAAATAAATTCAAATAAAACTATAGGTCACTGTACGGCCTTCAATAACAAGCAAAGCCCATACCGTACAGTCAGCTACAAAATGTGAAGCCATTCAAACGAAAAAATCAATTGCCTGATTGATGACAAAATAATAAACAATAAATATCAACAGCCTGATTGATGACAAAACAATAAACTAAAATATTCAATGTCCAGATTGATGACAAAACAAAACAAAAAAAAAATCAACGGCCTGATTGATGACAAAATAAAACAAAAAAAAATCAACGGCCTGATTGATGACAAAATAAAACAAAAAAAATTCAACAGCCTGTTTGATGACAAAACAATAAAGAAAAAATCAATGGCCTGATTGATGACAAAGCAATAAACAAAAAACAAATATAACAGACAGCAACCAACAAAAATCACTGAATTATAGGCTAGTTTAGGGTAATTGCCCCAAACTTTCAGGAATTGGGGGCAAAAAAGGGGCCAAAAACAAGCATGTTTCTAGTTTCCAGAAAATAACTTGTGTTTAAGTGTATGGATCTCTCTGAAATTGTACTACAAGGTTCCATACCACAATGGGAAGGCTGGGATTGAGTTTGGGGGTACCCGGTAATTGCCCCAAACGTTTAGAAATATGGGCAAAAAAGGGGCCAAAACAAGCATTTTTCTAGTTTCCAGACATTAACTTGTAAAGTTTATGGAACTCTCTAAAATTGTACATTTTTCCTGAAATGAAAATAATCTTCAAAATTTAAAAAAAAAGTTTGGGGGGATTTTTTTTTTCAAATTGTTTTGGGGGTTCATATTTTTTTCTTCAAAATTTTTTTTTTTGGTGGGGGGGACAAATTTTTTGGAGGGATTTTTATGGGTTTTTTTCCCAAAATTTTCCATTTTTACATTGATTATTTCTGGTTTATATATAAAAGCAACAAATACTGATATGGCAGGAGATACACACCAGACAGGGTATGTAAATTATTATATATGTAGGACTCAAATCTATGGTGGGTTCCAGGTCTATGGCAGATTCCTAATCTATGGTAAATATGACCTCATGCCATCCCAAATCTATGGCAGATTTTTCAGAATCCTAATCTATGGCAATTTTTTAGTTTCCTAATCTATGGCATTTTTTTAGTTTCCTAATCTATGGCGGATTTCTAGTTTTCAAATCTATAACATATTTTCTACAAATGGCGGACCAGTCAGTCTACATATCTGACCAATGATTTCAAAGTTGCCTTAAACAAGTCAAAATGTTCAAAGGTAGCGAAAAGGCTGCTTTTAATTTAACGCCAGTATATGAAAAACGGATTAGGAGTACGACTAGGAAGCATATCCATAACTATTTGTAAAATGAACACAGACTTTTAGGGTGAAATGATGTGCCCAGAAGAATAAACATTCCCTACTCTGTGCATGGTACCTGTTTGACCCTTCATTTAACCAAGTCCCTTGACAACCCAAAACGCAGTTTCACTTTTTACCTGAAATTTATTTGAGCGTTAATAAATCTTTTTTAACAGATGATGATTTAAGTCAAAGTCCTGTAACGAACAATGACTTGCCTCAAACACGTGGCTTTCTTAAAAAAATGCTTATTTCTCCAACAGTACAGTTATTCGACATAAATATAGCTGAAAATAATGTAAATAGTTATTAGAAATCTATGACAGATTTTTCTTTTTAGCTTCCAAATCTCAATAAAGCTTATTTGCAACAATAGTACAGGTAGTCACTGTTATATAGCTGAAAAAATGCTATTGGTTATGTTATATATAATAGAAAATTAGAGGCCATAGGGGTACAAAAATAACAAGAAAACAGCTTATCACAAAGAAAAATTATGAAAGAAAACAAAACAAAATATACAGTAAAAACTCATGCAATTAAGGGTGAGGGCAACACAAGAACAAAAAAACAAGGAGCGGAAACAAACACGAAACATAAACAATGAAGAAAACACCAAAAACACATTCATTTGTGTGAAATTGCCTGCATCAGCCATTTTGCTGCTACGAATGACTGGGTTTGTTCGCTAGTATTCTTATTTCGGCCGAATCAGATGATTACATCTTCTCATTTACAGGGGTTTCGGATAAAGTAAACTAGAATTCTGAAATATAATTTAATTTATGGATTAGGGTCCTTGAAAACTGGCCTTTTCTTTTCCTTCTATATTACAAAACCGTCATTGTTAACGGCGGCTTGGAAGTTACATGACGTTATTTGATTGTGACAGAAAAATACGTAATATCAAAATCTGCCATAGATTTGGAGAAAACAAAAAACTGCCATAGATTTATTATTTGTTTGACGTTTGTGATGTCATATTTACCATAGATTAGGAATTTGCCATAGGTCTGGAACCCACCATAGATTTGAGTCCTACATATATAACAGATTAACTAAGTATTGTGCAACAGCACAGTATTGCCAGAGACATATATACAGTATATATGTCTCTGGTATTCCTCAATAGCACAGTATTGCGCAATAGCAAGAAATCTTCAATTGAAAATAAATACAAATCTTTTGACCAATTTCAATGGGATTAATTTAAAGTCTTTAATTTTTAGGGGTTCTAATCTTGTATTACTATTTTGGATATTGGGTCCCATTTTTAAATTGGTCTACATTGAGGTCCAAAGGGCCCAAAATTAAACTTTGTTTGATTTCATCAAAAACTGAATTATTGCGGCTCTATGATATGCTGAATCTGATTGTGCATTTAGATTTTTTTAATTTGGGCCCTGTTTTCAAATTAGTCCATATTAAGCTTTGTATGGTCCAAAATTAAACTTTGTTTGATTTCAAGTAAAATTAAATTCTTGGTATTTTTATATACCGGTAGGCTGAATCTAACCATGTTGTTAGATTTTGGATATCAGACCATACTAGGTAAATTAAATGTCCCATTTCAAATTCTTAAGATCTTTGACCACATTTTGTGACAGAAACCTATATTATGTCAAAAATTGGATCACAATCCAAATTCAGACAGTATCAAGCTTGAATATTGTGTCCAAACTTGCCCCAACTGTTCAGGGTTCGACCTCTGCAGTCCTATCAGGCTGCACATAGGGAGGAAGCATTTTATTTTTAAATGTCTTCTACAATGAGCAAAAACCACATCAGGATCAAGATAAGCCGGGTATCAAGTAGATACACAATAGCACATTACACAGAGATGTCATTACTGGGTACAGTAATTAATCAACACTTAAGTGTTTAAATAGTGCTGTATATAGAACAGATAACAGTGTCTTCCCTAGAAAATTATTCATGCATGGTGGGTCCATGGTGAATATGCAACGCGGCGCGCGACGCTTCTTTTTTCAGAACTATTTACACTACATAATGAATATATGTTAAATCCATATACCAATCTAATTGTTTTATTATAGCTACAGCAATTCATACAAGTCATGAAACTCTAAAGTATTTATCACAGATGAGACTCAGAGGAATAAATGAAAGACCTTATAAACAATAATAAATATAATCCAGTCTGCAATAGTTATTTACAAATAAATGTCATGTACATATTATTTTGTTGATATTTTCCTCTGTTTCAACTTTCCAAAGGTCACCACACATTTTTCAAAATCAAAAGCTTCCTCCTTTGGTCCTTCAATTGATATGTGCATTAAACAATTCAGCACTTTTTGGCATAGTCTGTTTCTCAAAGGTGTTTTCACTCTGTTCAAACATGAAAAACATCTTTCACAATCAGCTGTTGAAACAGGCAAAACAAGACCAATTGCCGCATACTTAGACAGACAAGGATACAAAGTTCCAAGACTGGCAACTTTGTTCATTGTCTTCCTAAATGTCATGTCTTTACACTCTTTCACTAACAGTGTCCTCAGTGTTTCCCATTCTTCTAGAACTTCTATTTCACTTCCAACTGACTTGAAATGTTTGGCTAGATTCTAAAAAAAAAATTGTATTGCAGGAATTATATGTCAAAAACTACAGTTAAAGTATCATACTGTATGTGTATGGTCCAGCTTGATAAATAAAAATGTTTTACTATTTGTTTATAAGTTTTTTATTTATCCTCAGACAATAAATAGTTATAAGATTTATTTGTATTTATATATATATTTCATAACTAGTTAATGAATAATTCAATGTACATACCTTCAGTTTTATTTGTTGAATCCATTCATTCAATGTAGGGTCCTCTGCATTTAAGAGGTCTGGATCCATGACAGATAGTGCATCCAGTACTGGGTTGTCTGGAAATCTGTCATGTAGGTTCTGTACCACATTCTCTAGGTAGGGCTGGTATATATCCCTTTTAAAGTTGTCAATGTCTGACTGCCTCAGTCTAACACCATACTCTGACAGGTTGTCCAGGCAGGTTGGCAATAACTGCATGTAGGTTCCAGGTTGCTCAATCAGTCTTGTGATGGTGATCTGTGTTGCTGACACAAGAGTGTCAATTAATGTGAAGTCAACATCTGTTTTCTGCAAAGATAAATATTAAAAAAATGAATTCCACTGTTACCATTGAAATTAACTTAATATATTAATCAATATAAGCATAGGCATTGAAAAAATTGCAATTGTTATACTGAACTTCTATTAATCCACAAGTTATCTCCCTTTCACATTTAAGAAGGAGTTGCCTTTCTTGACCCATAAATGATGGATAGTTTTATTTATACATATAATTTAGAGTAAGAAAGCACAGAACTGTTATTTTTTAATTTGATAAATAACTTAAATTTAGATGTTGAAATAAAAAAAAAATAATATTTAACTCACTTGGAATGTTTTTGACAGTCTTGCAAGGTGTGGGAGAATGTCTGACATCATATGGATTGAGGCAACAAATTTGGTTGTCTTTACAAACATTGCAAGACCAGCAGCTGTTGCATCTGATCTTTCACTGGCTTCTCTCTCTAAACTAGCAATTAGTGCAGGGAGGCATTCTCTAATAGCAGTCACTGCTCTGTCATGTGACAACCATCTTGTGTCAAGGACTTCTTTCATCTTCAATTGTGGTCCACCTAGTATTGTCTGAATATAGAATAAAGGAATAATGTATTGATTGTATGGTCAAACTAAGCTACTCCATAGGTTATAGGTTTTGATGTGGTTAATAAAATACTGTAATATGTAATGACTTTCTGTTTACTATTTGTATAAATATAATTAAGTAACAATAGGGCTACGATAAAGATGTATAAGTGTTGTACATGTACATATAGTTAAAATATATTACCTCAATTTCTTTAAGTCCAGACATTCTAACTGCTGAGTTTTGGTAGAATTTAAATATCTGTTGCAATAAGTCCTTGAACTTCTTCAAATATGGAATATTGTCTGTAGCCTGAGCTGCAATTTTTTTTTTTAATTTACAAGTATAGTTATTAAAGTATTTTAACATAGTCATAGTTCTTTCTTTATTTATAATACTAAGTCAATGATGCTTTCTTATAATAAATATAATTTATGATAAAAATGTTTTATATCTCCCTACCCCAGATTTTCTTCCAACCATAACAGAGGCACCATCAGATCCAAGGCCTATCAAATGCTCTGTTGGCAGCTGAAGATCATTTAGAAATTTGTCCAAAGCATTCATTATGGTCTCTGCTTTCCCATCTGGTAACTCTACCATACCAAGGAATGAAGTCTTTACCTACACAAAATAATAAGACTTTACATCAACTATCATAAATATATATTTTGCATTATTTCAGAATGTTGATTTATGAATACAACCTCTTTGTGTCTGAATTAGTTTGATTAATTTTACCTAAAGTAGTATAACTTACTTATAAGTGATTATGATAAAATTACTGACCTGATTATTTCCTGTTATATATCTGGCAAGGATGGTCATTTGCTTGATCACTGCTATATCAGTGGTTTCATCAATCAGGATACTGTAATAACTTGAGTTACATATGTCCTGCAGTATTGGGGCTGCAATCTGATCTGCAATGATATGGAGCATCTCTTGTAAAGTCCTTTGACTTTCATAATTGGCATTTCCTCCCTTCTGCAGATGATTCAAGTAAGAACATCCCATTCTCTTGGCATATCCAAGTAAAGATGAATATTTGGTAGTGTGTGGTATTTCCTCTGAGGCCAACCAATACAGACTTCTAAATGCTCCAATCAAGGCAGTCTTCTCCAGAGATGCCTGAACTGCTACAGCTTGCACTAGTCCTTGGCCATTCCCAGACAGAATACGTTGTGCCTCCAACTGTTCTGCTTCCTTGTGGGCATCAGATTTGGCATGCTTACTAATACTTTCAAGGGTAACAGTAATACAAGGCTTACTTGTCCATATGAGGCTGCCATTCATTGGTGTCTTATTGAAGGTGATACAGAGATTGCACAGCAGACCTGAAAATTAAATATTAAAATTTTAATTAAATAGAACACTTTATGTTACATTTATAGAAAATAATATATTCATGTGGTCAAAAATCTTTAAAACATTTGTTCAATATAATTATAGTATACCTTGCTATTTGCAATGGAAATTTTGTACAATAAATCAAGTAATTCGTATATATCTTGGTCTGAGATCGTCAATTATCTCAAACTTTTGGGATAGATAAATTAAATAAAAATATTCTTACCAAATCCTTCATTGACTGTCTTTAACCAAGGGAATTTTATCAGCCATTTCTTGTCAACTCCTGTTTTTCGTTTCTTTGGATCTTTTGTGATTTTCGTATTTTCCGAGTTCAGGGATACAATGGCCAGTGTACTGGTAGGGCTTGTGTCTGTTTGTACATCTTGACTTTCGGTGCATTCAGGTGAAGGTTGAATTTCAACTTCAGGGCTTTGCTCAAGGTGATGATTTTCATGATCTATCCGACTACAATTTGACGAAGGAGTAGACTTCTCTAACCAACTTGTCAGAAAAGTTGGGCCAGTAATACGACGTTTCTTTGATGGTTGCTTGGACATGGTCTTGATGATTGTTCTTCGAAATTTGCGGGTAGAATGGTTTCATCATCAACAGCAAGTTGTTAAATAAAACTTTGAATGTCATCATTGCTTCACAGACATTTTACAGGAAATAATAAAAAAAGTATATTTGCGTTAATTACAGAAGTCGTCACTGACTAATACCTGACATACGTGCGTACGGGTGGCATATTTGGCAATTACCTGTTTGAAAGCTAAGCTGACATTTTATTTTATGAAAATTAACTTTTGATTTAAATACACCCCTTTCCGATTTATTTATAACGATTCATAATTGTAAAAATCCTATCTTGCCGAAGTGAAAGAAATTTAGCCCCGCTTGTGATCACTTGTTTAAAAACGGTAAATGAATCCGCTACACATATAAGCTTGTGACCCATTGAAATAAAAATAAAACAACACACGTTTATTAAAAAACAATATTTCCGTTAATTACCTAATCTTTTAAATGTTTCATAAGACATGTCTTTTACTCGGCCCGGTGATGTGTATTCTTTGATAAAAATCAATCAACCGCGAATCTAATAATAACTGATTGTTGTGACCAATCAAAAAATAGTTCATCGATGTACATATAACTGGAGAAGTAACTGCGAAACTTTATTGAAAAAAATGTGTTGTTCATTCTCGGTGAAATTACGTTAGTTTTATCAAGAACTAACCTGACCAAAATTAAATTTCTACTTTTTAAAGATCATAGTAAAACAACGATGTCAAAAATTCGTTTTAAAAGAGATCACAACCACAGGTAAAAGTTAATATACGGAAAAGGTTAAACTTTTTATTTTTTTTTCACAGAAAGTAGGCATTGGAGATTATTATAACTATTTATTTATCAGCTATCTGGCAACTTCTATTATGTAACTGAAGTCTCGAAGTATAACCAACTAATCAAGAAGGTTGTAAAATCCCGGCACGCGCTACGTGATGCATCCAATTATCAGTCGGATGAGTTTAAAACACCTGTGGAGATTTGTCACTTATCACTTCACTTTCAAAATATCGATAATAAATATTTTACACAGTTACAATTTTCACACATAGCGGGATGCATTGCGGCAATGATGAAAGCATGGCGGTCGAAATTGATGCGTAGCGGTACCGCAATGCTTGAATAGCCTAGGGAAAACACTGGATAAAAGATAAATGAATGTATATTTCATTAGTATAAATAGTAATTGTGATGGAAGGAAATAAAAATACTTGGCATCAATCCATCCATCTGCCTACAATGTATCTGCCTAATTACATTGTATAAAAAATAATGATCCATTGATTAATTGTTGGGGAATATAAAATAAATGAGTATTGATACTTAGGTTCAAATCCGCTGACCGTTATGGAAAATGTGAGACACCTGAATACTCACTGGCTTGGACAGAGAATCAGCTGACCAACAAGGAAAATAGGGTGACATGTAAACCCATCAGATAGGACGGTGAGGTGAATGCTCTTTGCTCATCTGATCCTCTTATTGTGTAATCTGCTAAAGGCATTAAGGATAATACAGATCTTTGTATTCAAAGAGTAAAATGTCAATATAGTGCTCAATCCAATTGGTTGAAGCATAAACTATTTGACCTTTAGTTATATCAATTTCATCTGATGTTCCACATCCATTATATTATGAATCTGTAGTCCCTGTATCTGCCATGATATTTTGTCTTTATGTTCAGGTAGCTGGGGTGTCTTCCTCCATCTTGGATTTTGAAATAGCAGATAACGACCTGTCTAGATTTTCAATGAACTGTGCAAATTTCGAGAGTTTGTAATTCATGTGTAAGAATTTTCATGTTAATTTAGAACATTATGTGTTTTATCATATTTACGGCTGTATTTTACAAAAAACAGAATTTTGTTTGATTCATTTTTTTCCAACTTTCCCACATAAGGGGAGATAACTCAGAAAAAGTAATTTTTATAATTAAAGAAGACTGTTTTGTTGAATAAACTGAATGTGTTTTTTTTTCTTTTGTTATACTGGTTATTTCAAGCATAACTGTCAAGTTTTGTCATAATCAGTTCAATAGTTTGAGAAAAATCTAGCATAATGTAAGACAACATCTACAGCGATTCGAGCAATATTTCTTCGAAAAATTCAAATCAAGCCACATCATGATAGAATATAGTGTGGACCAATATATGATCTAATATTTATCTCATCTGCCTACAGACAGTTGAATATGATACAAAAGATGACTCTAGGATGATAAATACCACTAATGGACCTCTTTGTCTTCATTATAAGGTCCCTTTGGTCCATTCATACCTCTCATTTCCTCAAAATTTCAACTTTTTAGGCAAATAAATAAAAATTATGGGGTAGCTTTCACTTGTTAATGAAAGAAATGTGATAATAAATGAGTAATTGAAGTATTCAAGTTGAATGAACTATCCATATAAAAGTTTACTGACTCCATGGAGGTTTCAATAAGTCTTTACGTAAAACTTAAATTTACGCCGCGTTCCAGAAATGGACATAAAAAGCTTCCCTTTAAGTGAATAATTTGTTGTTACTGCTTCAAAAATAATTTCATTTACTAATAACTATATATTTATTAAAGTATTACTTAGGAAAAAGTTTTCTATTATAGCAAAATATAGGAAATAGAGATAAAAAGTCAGAAAAAGCTCCCAAAAACACTGAGTATGGCTTGCTCTGTCCACTAATATTCATGGTAGAGTCCTATTTCAAGGCAATTTTCTAATAAAATGTGTTTTTGAGACTCAATCCACTCAGAATATTTCATTTTTGTAATATTTCACTTAAATAGCATGAAATTTTAACAAATGAGAGTACACATAAGGTCAAAGGCGCATGTGCAGCTTCCCATGATAGGTGTAATACCACAATTGATTTTCCATTATTAGTCTTTGTTAAATTTGCACTTTTCAAAAAATTGTGCAGAATTTATCTTTGTTTCAAATAAAGAAATACTTGGCATGAGTAAAGTTTTATCCTGTCCAGTACTATAAACAAATTTCACATAACATTTCATTGCATATAAGAAAAACACCATCACTGGAAGTTAACCAATCAAATTTTCACCCCTTTTTTTCCTGTGTACAAGCTTTAGTAACCATGTAACCTCAAGTTTCCAAAATATTCTATAGAAACACCAAATAAAAAAATAATGGTGCTTTGAAACACCCAATATATATGTTTATGACTCAGGAATTTTCACTGCAATAAAATGTAGGATTAATTTTCTACATAAGAAAATGCCTGTACCAAGTCAGGAATATGACAGTTGTTATCCATTCATTTGATGTGTTTGAGCTTTTGATTTTGCCATTTGATTAGGGACTCTCCGTTTTGAATTTTCCTCGAAGTTCGGTATTTTTGTGATTGTACTTTTTCCTACAACTGTCAAATTCAAGGGAATATTTTTTTTTACCCTTTTTTGTGTGCAACCAGATGTGACGTACTATGGTTTGGTGGTATTACACCACTAGGATGTGTTGCGAATTTACCTATTTCATTATGTAGCAAGAAAACGAGTCTGGTGACCGCATTTTTTCTTTTTCTTATCTGAAAGCATATTAGAGCTATCTCCTCATATTCTATCTTAAAATTCTATGATGTTGTTTTCTTTTAATTTTAACACACAAAATTGGGTTTTCCAAACATAATCTATACAAAATTTGACAATTTTGCATAACCTGTAGTGTTAAAAAAAGCCCGTTGACCCATACTTTTTATTATATTTTTGAAAAAGCATGATATAAAATTGAGAATGGAAATGGGGAATGTGTCAAAGAGACAACAACCCGACCACAGAACAGACAACAGCAGAAGGCCACCAACAGGTCTTCAATGCAGCGAGAAATTCCCGCACCCGGAGGCGTCCTTCAGCTGGCCCCTAAACAAATATATATACTAGTTCAGTGATATATAAACTATATTTTGACAAATTATTAAAAAAATCTATGGATTTTAATTTAGACCCCCCATCTACCTTAAGATCATTTGATTCATTATTTCAAACATAAGTATGCCACAGATTTCCTGTTAGGGGCTGTTACAAATTGCTGTACCTTTTATTTGTTTCTATATTTTCCCATCATGTTCAAATACATTGCTATCTATAATGAGCTTAATAAACAGATGTATTTATAAGCTGATCGGTGGAAAATCAACTTGGAATTTAATATAAAAAAGAAGATGTGGTATGATTGCCAATGAGACAACTCTTCACAAGAGACCAAATGACACAGAAATTAACAACTATAGGTCACTGTATGGCCTTCAAAAATGAGCAAAGCCCATGCTGCATAGTCATGCAGCTATAAAAGGCCCTGAAATGACAAATGTAAAACAATTCAAACAAGAAAACTAACGGCCTAATTTAAGTACAAAAAAATAAACGAAAAACAAATATGTAACACAGCAACAAATGACAACCACTGAATTACAGGCTCCTGACTTGGGACAGGCACATACAGAATGATGCGGGGTTAAACATGATAATGGGATCCCAACCTTCCCCTAACCTGGGACAGTGGTGTAACAGTACAACATAAGAACGAACTATAAAAATCAGTTGAAAAAGGCTTAACTCATCAGATGGATACAAATAGAAATACATCTAACAAAAACACAGAGTGGACGTGGCCTGGTACTTGTGCATCCCAACAACAAAAAGACACTAAGTACAGATCTGAGAGTACTCGCAGTTACTGACAGCTAGTTCAAAGCCAATAACAACTAATAAAAAAAATCATGCATCTAAGACTAAATTATTTATAATTACACATCCAACATCCAATGGATTCAGTGTAAAGACGTCATAAACAGTCAGAGGAAAACATGACCTTGTGCAATGCCAAGATACAGGTATCGACAGATTGTAGATCCATGAATGTGTATATGTATATAACAATAATATTTAGTTTGCCTTTAATTTACTGATAACAAAATAAATATTAATACCAATAAAAACAATATTCAAAGATCTAATTACAGTGTTGAATTGGTAACCTTTAAGAATAAGTTTATTTAAAGGATCAATAAGTTTACCTGAGGATCGTTTCTAAATTTCCGGAACACGGTAAACAACATCTCTATAAAAATGAGGATGTGCTATCCCGTTTGAAATAAGTTTTCTACAGGTACAACCAAACTTCAAAACCAAATCTTTATATCTATGGAAGAATTTAGTAAAGATTTTAAGTAATTTGTGGTAACGAAATCCCTGACTTAATCATTTACCAGTAATACATAGGTTAATATGTTCATTAAAATCCAAAACATCACAACAGACATGGGCATAGCGAATGAGTTGTGAAATATAAACACTGTAAGATGGTGACAAAGGAACATCACTATCTAAAAAAGGAAAATTAACAAAAGGGAACGAAAAATTGTCCCTTTTGTCGTAAATTTTAGTGTGGAGTTTCCAGTGTAAAACTGAAATATCTAAATCTAGGAAAGGACAGTTATTACCGATTACATTTGATTTATTTAAAGTAAGTTCCTTTGGGTAAATTTCGGCAGTATATTTAGAAAATTCTTGATTATTTAATGAAAAAATTTCATCAAGATAACGGTAAGTGTTGTTGAATTCATCAATTAAATGCAATTTATGAGTTTGGTCATAAACTGTGATTCATAACAGTACAAAAACAAGTCTGCTATTAAAGGGGTGCAATTAGTGCCCATAGGAATACCTTCAACCTGTCGATAAACTTTGTTGCCGAAACGTACATAAATATTATCAAGGAGAAAATTAACAGCTTCAATCATCTCATCACACCTCCAGTAAGTATATATAGATCTAGCATATTTACCTTTCTCATTAAGTTTGTCAAAACCTATTATTGGCAATCATATCACATCTCTCTATTTTTATAAATATAAAATTTTTTTAAAAAAATGGGGATAAATGTTATTTGGTTTCTTAAAAGCAAATAAAAATTAAGACCTTAAGCAGAAATTGTCAGATACAATATTGAACTTTGTATGATCTTATTACATTATAGATGAAATAACTTGATAAAGGAAAATCCAGCTCTTCAGGAAATTAAAAAAAATATGTTATTTTCATATCACTGGTAAAACAGAAGCACAACAAAAAATGATTTTTTAATTTATTTCTTATTCTTTTTAACATTGTGTCAAGGGAGACAATATTTTTTTTAATTTTGCCGGGTCTTTATCCGAAGTTGGTTTCATTTTAGAAACATACCGTTCAATACTTCTCGTATATTTTCAATAAATGGACGAATAGTCTAGAGAACATGCAATAGCAAAATGGCAGCTTTTCAAAGAGTGAAACAGAACATTTCTAACGTCATTTGTTTCTCTTATTGTGAGCTATTTATTTAAATTTAGTCACCATCCAAGCTATGGTAAGTAAGTTTTTCTTCAGAGCGATTTTCATAACTTGACAATGCTTCCTTTGACTTTGTATGTTCCAATACATGAAATAATGCCACAGGCACTTGAAGATTTTTCCAGCTCGTTTGTGTGTTTAATGAATATTGTTCGTGTTCGGCCAGTAAAGGGTTTCAACTTAAATATATCTCTTGATTTTACTGAATGTTCAATAGATGGTTTTTGATTGACGCAATATGCATGATATGGGCAAAAGTTACTTCCCTATAATAATTTGATATGTTGGAAGTCGAATTATTGTCCGTTTGCCAAAAATCATGTTCGCTCCCATAATTTCATGTTCACCCTCTTTCACATTCGCACCTCACACGTTTGCACTCGTTCATGTTTGCCCTCTTTTACATTTGCACTCCACACAATCGCACCCTTTTTAACGGTTTTGTGTTGAATATTTTTTTAATCATTTAAAAATTGGCTTTAATTGCCAATATGTCCTAGTCCCAAAATGAAAAGTGCCTATATCGACCTCCAATCCATCTAGAACCCCCTGCACTATCTATTTATACATTTAGTTCTGGAATAGGGTCAATTATATTATGTAAGAGGCAAACATGGAGAATAAATAGTCTATTGAGATCATGGATGTGGGTGATAATGATAATTGCAGCTTCATTTTGTAAAAAATATCTAGGAAATTTGTTTGGAGTCCCTACTAAATTAAAATTAATTTTTCTAAGTAGAACTTGTTCAGTGCCCCAAACATAATACTTATATTAACTCAGTACTCCGAGTACAAAATTTGTGGTCAAAACACCAAATTCAATATATATGAGTCACAACTAAGATTATCATACTCTTTAGCATATTAAGTTTTATGACCGCAAAGAAAGGAAAACAGTATGTTTTAAACTTAGAAAACTTGCCCTCTCTTAAAGGTCCTAATGTCATGTATTATCATCTCTAGATTTGTGTGTCTTGAGTTGCTGTCTGATTGACAAATGATTGACCTAATGTTTCTTTTAGTATTTATATTCAGTACAATAAAAAATTTAAAAGGTGTGGTATGATTACCAACGAGACAACTCTCTGCCAGAGACCACATGACGTAGAATTTAACATTTATAGGTCACCATGGTCACCATGCGGCCTTGAACAATGAGCAAAACCCATACCAGTCCTCTACAATAACTTTTTTTCCAACTTGTCCAGTAGGACAAGTACATACCAAAACTTACTTATCTTAATAATAACCTTTTTTGCATTTTAAGTTGATTCAAGGAACAAAATGAATTAAAACATTAGAACAGAATTTGATTTACACATGTATATCTTTTGAAATACCTTTTAAAAATATGTTGAGAACAACTGAATCTAGTCATGTCACAGGACTTATGTTCTAGTTTTCATCAATGCCAAAGTCTCATCAGACTCTACACATGAGGCACCGTCTGATAGGCCTGTCAATTTCCACTCATTGGATTTGAATCCTGGTTTTTATACGACCGCAAAAAATTTTTGTGGTCGTATATTGGTATGACGTTGGCGTCGTCGTCATCGTCGTCGTCCAAAGACACATTGGCTTTCGCACTCTAACTTTAGTTTAAGTGAATGGATCTCTTTGAAATTTTACCATAAGGTTCAATACCACAAAAGGAAGGTGGGGATTGATTTTGGGGGTTATGGTACCAACAGTTAAGGAATTAGGGGCAAAAATAAGCATTTTCTAGTTTCCAGACAATAACTGTGGAACGGTGTATGGATCTCTCTGAAATTATACTACAAGTTTCCATACCACAAAGGGATGGTTAGGATTTGCTTTGGGGGGGGTTATGGCTCAAACCGTTTAGGAATTAGGGGCAAAAAAGGGGGAAAAACAAGGTTGTTCTGGTTAATGGACAAATATTTTAGTATAAAACATAATTTAAAGCAGTGTAAGGGAGATAAATCAAATACATCATTGAAATTATCTCCCTTACACTGCTTTTAAATTATGTATAAAGTAATGGTTAATGATCAATTAAGATAATTTAAAACAGTGTAAGGGAGGTAATCCAAATACAACGTTTTGGTTACTTCCCTTACACTGCTTTTAAATTATGTTTAAAGAAATGCATATTTATAAAGAAAGACCAGTAAAAATATCTGCAAATGTTGCATCTTTTTTTTTACAAAAAAATCCATATGAAAGATTTGACACTATATTTTAAATTCTATTATAAAATAGATTAAGTTAAATGGGTAATTATAGTTGCAAACTCCAATGGAAATTTGAATTGAGATTATGACCATATCTTGAGGGAAAGAATTTTTTTGGGGAAAAAAAGGGGGGGGGGGGTAAAAGAAATTGTGGGGGTCAATTTTTTCTCATTTAAGATTTCAGAAATTAAAAAGAATTGTTCTTCAAACATGTCAAATATTATTTTTTTTTCAAATTTCAAATATTGAAAAATTTCAAGAAGTAATCTTTAATTGCACAGTATGGCGCATTAGATTTGTAAAATCTTTGACCACATTTATTTATTTGTTATGCCGAATCTAACCGTGTATTTAGATTTTTAATATTGGGTCCAGTTTTCAAATTGGTCTACATTAAGGTCCAAAGGGTCCAAAATTAAACTTTGTTTGATTTTAACAAAAATTGAATATGTGAGGTCCTTTGATATGCTGAATCTAAACATGTATTTAGATTTTTGATTTTTTGCCCAGTTTTCAAGTTGGTCCAAATTGGGGTCCAAAATTAAACTTTGTTTGATTTCAACAAAAATTGAATATATGGGGTTCTTTGATATGCTGAATCTAACCATGTATTTAGATTTTTTATTTGTGGACCCCGCTTTCAAATTGGTTCATATTGAGGTCAAAAGGGTCCAAAATTAAACTTCGTTAGATTTCATCAAAAATTGAATTATTGGGGTTCTTTGATATGCCAAATCTAATCGTGTATTTAGATTTTTAATTTTAGGTCCTGTTTTTTTTAAATTGGTCTACATTAAGGTCCAAAGGGTCCAAAATTAAACTTAGTTTGATTTTAACAAAAATTGAATTCTTGGGGTTCTTTGATATGCTGAATCTAAACGTGTTTAGATTTTTGATTATGGGCCCAGTTTTCAAGTTGGTCCAAGTTGGGGTCCAAATCAAACAAAATTAAACTTTGTTTGATTTCAACAAAAATTGAATATATGGGGTTCTTTGATATGCTGAATCTAAAGATGTATTTAGATTTTAGATTTTTGGCCCAGTTTTCAAGTTGGTCCAAATTGGGGTCCAAATTTTAAACTTTGTTTGATTTCAACAAAAATTGAATATATGGGGTTCTTTGATATGCTGAATCTAGCCATGTATTTAGATTTTTTATTTGTGGGCCCGCTATCAAATTGGTTCATATTGAGGTCAAAAGGGTCCAAAATTAAACTTTGTTTTATTTCATCAAAAATTGAATTATTGGGGTTCTATGATATGCCAAATCTAACAGTGTTTATAGATTTTTAATTTTGGGTCCCGTTTTTTAAATTGGTCTACATTAAGGTCCAAAGCGTAAAGCTCAAAACACTTATACTTTTAAACAAAGTATCAAGAAGTACTTAACACAGTCCTGATAAGATTATATTTTCTACAATGTATTTGTATATTCTTTTATTTTTATTTGTATTTGATTTTTTGACTACATGTACATCTTGAACAGCCTTATATCTTATCATGTTAGTAATATTACATTGAACTAATTGACTGTAAATTAACTATGTGTAAATATCTGTTTTTGATTGTATTGTAATTTGTATGTGAGGGCCTCAGGGAAGATTAGTTTATTGTAACTAACTGAGTTTACCCTCTTTAAATAAAGAATTTATTATTATTATTATTATTATTAAAGGGTCCAAAATTAAACTTAGTTTGATTTTAACAAAAATTGAATTCTTGGGGTTCTTTGATATGCTGAATCTAAACATGTGTTTAGATTTTTGATTATGGGCCCAGTTTTTTTGATTTCAACAAAAATTGAATATATGGGGTTCTTTGATATGCTGAATCTAACCATGTATTTAGATTTTTAAGTCTCCCAAACGAAGTTTGGGAAGACTTATTGTTTTTGCTCAGTTCTTATTATTATTATTATTATTCTTCCTCTTCCTCTTCCGCCGCTTTTAAATTTGAACTTGTCCGCATCCGTTCTCCAAAACCGCTTGTCAGATTAACTTAGGGTTTCACAATACATGCAATATGTTAGACTAACATGTCTAGTGGTGCAATCAGGGTTTTGTTTGTGCAATGGGGTTTATAAAGGGGTACTTTGAGGGGCAAAAAGAAAAGAGGGTTTTACTAAAGAACCCTATGGGATTTTATTTTTTAAAATTTTCAAATGATTATAAATTGAAAACCGTTTGTGATAGACACAATCTTTTTAATTGAAAATGTTCTAAATGATAAAACCCATTAAATGAAATACAGGGTTAGTCCCCAGGGGTCATCCCCACCCCCTGCCATTTAAGAAAGTTCTAATACCTTGTAAGTGGTTAAGATCCCCACCCCTAAACCATATATATTCTGGTTTGTCATGCTAAGATGGTTTGAATGATATACAAGGTTAGTCCCCAGGGGTCATCCCGACCCCCTGCGATTTGAGAAAGTTCTAATATCTTGTAAATGGTCGAGATCCCCACCCCTAAACCATATATATTCTGGTTTGTCATGCTAAGATGGTTTGAATGATATACAAGGTTAGTCCCCAGGGGTCATCCCGACCCCCTGCGATTTGAGAAAGTTCTAATATCTTGTAAATGGTCGAGATCCCCACCCCTAAACCATATATATTCTGGTTTGTCATGCTAAGATGGTTTGAATGATATACAGGGTTAGTCCCTAGGGGTCATCCCGACCCCCTGCCATTTGAGAAAGTTCTAATATCTTGTAAATGGTCGAGATCCCCACCCCTTAACCATATATATTCTGGTTTGTCATGATAAAGCACATGAAATGAAATACAGGGTTAGTCCCCAGGGGTCACCCCCACCCCATG